TATGATAGAAAAGGTCTTGGCTCCTCGGTCCTCGTGCCCGCTTTGGAGTCCTCGTGGTACCCTGTTTTCTAGCAGTACGCCGGAGAACGTGAGGGCAGCACCACGTGGGCTGCTCGAACAGACTCTTGACGCTTGGCGCAATATTGAACTTTGTCCACCTCAGATAACAAAAGTCGGACAACATAACCTGCTCCCTTTGCTGTGAGAGGGGGCGGCCACGCTCCGATTGAACGGAGACCTCTCATCGTTACTTGACTCGGCCGGCTCTGGCTCTGTCTTGACCGGACCCGGACCGACGCCAGGGAAACGCCGGGTTTCTCCGGTTCTTGCGATACTGCCACTTCCCCGCAAACTGTTTGCCAAGGTCGGCAAACCGTCCCCATTGGGGAAACGCAGGCTCGGGTTGAAGTCACAGCGACATGACGAGAGATGCCATGAACGACCAGCAGTCAAAATCGCCGTAGATTGCCTCTCGTTTCCCCGCATGCACGTTCCCTCCATGACCATGACACCGAACCTGACAAGCCCATTTACCCCAGGACATTAAATTTGCATGCCGTCTCCGTGATGCCGTAGCAGACAAGCCCATCATCACCCCATCACTCCACAACCCCGGCATTCCTCAGCCCTCGCAGCGCCTGCAACACCCTCGCCGCGTTGCCCCCACGGCCCGCGCCCCCAGCCCCGTCCCCAACGATGGCGCCGGCGACAGCACGCTCGTCCGGCTCGAGGGCGTTCCAGAAGCGCCCCAGCACAGCGACCTGCGCGCCGCCGCCGCCGCCCGTCGTCGTCGTCGTCGTCGCGCGAAACACCCTCGCCAGGCCGACGAACAGGTAGACGACGGCCTCGCGCGTGCCGTACCGCTGGACGCGCGGCAGCAGGTCGAGCAGCCAGGTGACGACCTCGAGGCCGAGGGCGTCGCAGCAGCCGAGGGCGCGGTCCTGGTCGAGGGCGCAGCAGGCGAAGAGGGCGTGCTGGAAGAGGTCGAAGACGAGGGGCGGCTCGTCGCGGGGCGGGACGTTGGCGAGGAGGGCGCGCTGGCGGGCGAAGAGGGGGCTCGGGGGTGTGCTGGCGGCGGCGGCGGCGGTGCGCAGGGAGAGGGCTTCGACGTGGCGCATGACGAAGGTGAGGGCGGCATGGAAGCCGGGAACGAAGAGGGCCGCAGGGATATCGTCGAGGTTAGGGGTGTAGTCTGCGAGGAAGGCCGACAGGTCGAAGACGGCGCCGCGGCCTGCGCTGGGGGCGTTGCGGGTGCGGGGCAGGAGGGTGACGAGGTGGTGGCGATCGACCAGGGCGCGTTCGCCGGAGGGGAGGATGACGGTGCAGCGGGTTTGGAGGTGGGGATACGAGAGCCGGCGAGCGGCGTGGGCAGAGACGAGATGAGATGGGAACTGGCTGCTGTTGGGGTCACAAGCGTGCTGATTCGAGAGGGCGAGGAGACGTCCGGCATCGTGGTCTGGGGGGTAGCTGTAATTATTGACATTGACGGCAGGGCGGCCGTTTTCGAAGCGATGACAGGTATGAGGATCATGACGAAAGCTGCCATGATGGCCTGGGCCGCCAAAGGGTGAACGAAACATGGTGATGGTTCTCGTTCTTCCAGGCGCTAGTAGCTCAATGTCTTTGCCTTTTTTTGCCCTTCTTTTGCCCATTCACAGCAGTTCTCAAGAGTGGCAAGGTCGGTGTCTTAAGAGGGCAGATCTCCGTTGTACGAACACATGTCGACGTTCTGATTGCCAAACTACGAGAGGCATGAATCAGAACGGGACAAACTGGTCGTGATGATTCCATGACAATCGCCAGCACAGCAAGCAAGAAAAGGCATCCAGCCTCAACACGCCTCCAACACGGAAACACCGAAACATGGACACATGATCACAAAGAGGGCAAAAGGAGAAGCATCAAGCCGCTGCCACGCAAAAGGAAACTCTCCCCGAGACAGGTTCGAACTGTCGATCTCCCGATTGCTCTGTGGATAACAGTCGGACGCCTTAACCAACTGGGCCACCAGGGACGATGGTGATTGGATGAAGTTTTGTTAAGTCAGAACTGAATAAGACGCCTTCAACTGGGACATCCACTCGACCAAAAGAGAAAAGTGGTAGATGCTCCCCGAGACAGGATCGAACTGTCGATCTCCCGATTGCTCTGTTCATAACAGTCGGACGCCTTGACCAGCTGGGCCACCAGGGATGTGGGCAGCGCAAAATCGGGGGCTCCATGAGGGCTTTGGGACGGAGACGAGCGAGATGAGAGGGCATGTGGGTTCATGTCGAGACAGGGAGGAGGACGAGGCTCCCTCAAGCTCTCTCCATCGTGGTCCGTCCTGCGTGGATTGAGGCGGGCGAGGGCGCCTGCAGGAGGCAGCCGACGGCGGCGCTCGATAGCGCCATGGTAGGGGCTCAGTAGCACGGCGCGTGCCTTGCCGCCGGTGAAGAGAAAGATAGCTGTGCCAATAGCGTGTAATGCGACGACCTGTGCCAAATAGTGCAGAATGCCGGCGGAGATAAGGGGGCATCGTAGACTCTTGTGCTGATGATATTCAATGCTTCACTGTTTTTCCCAGGGGGACAAAACGCCAGCACGAACCTTGTTGAAGTCATGGCGCGGCAGCACTGCTTTCTCCGTCCGCTGTGGAAGCTCTGTGATGAGCTCCAAACCCTGTGAGGCTGGGGTTGCTGGTGTGCCGCCCGGCTCCTGGTGGCCTGGATCACCAAGACCATGACTGATGCTCTCGCTATACGCAAAGCGAGGCCTGGTAGTGCTCTTGGCGACTTGGAGGGCCTGCTTCTGAACAGCCATTGTCTGTTCCGAATCGTTCCGTTCGCGCTCCCACGTATAACCGGCGCCGACCGATACATCGATATGACAGAGAAGAGATGGACCGGTGATGGGGCCTTCATACTGTATGCTCCATCGGGATACTGGTTGCTGTTGTTGAGAAGAGGATCATGGACAACTGGGCCACTGGTAGGGACCTGCTGTAGGTAGATAGGTGCTACCGGCCTCCCCTAGGCACCTGTAGGGAAGGTGCCGTAGGGCTAGACGAGCCCGTTCCGCAGTGTCTGAACCCCCCTCGACCCCGCATCGAGGTGCAGCGACGGTGGCGGCGTGCAGCGGCAGTCACTAGCGACTGTGCCTTCACTGCCCCTGCCGCCGCCTCGCCTGAAGCCATTGCATCTGCCAACGGCGCAGCATCAACTCGTGTCGAAAGTGTCTCTCATCGCCATCATCTTTACCATCACCATCCACCACCACCACCACCGCCACTGCTCAAGTCATCAAACAACTGCACAAGCCTTTGGCAGCAAGCTACTCGCAAACACCCCCAAGCACCCCAGGCATCCAAGCACCCAGACACTAGACACCAGACACCAGGCACCAGGCACCAGGCAACCAGTCCTCATCGCTCAGACAGTCTGCCTTGCCAATCAGAGCCCACCAGCGACGCCCAAAATGCAGGCCTCAACAGGAGCTGAGCCGCCTCTTGGATCGGCCACCCGGCTGGTCGCGCTTCCAGTTGTGGTATAATTAGCCTGGCCTCTCTCTCTCTCTCCGGCCTCTGCTTTCATCCAGACATGCCATCCTCTCCTACCACCGCCGCAGCAACACCCTGATCCAGGCCTCTGCCACCCAAGCAACACCTGATCCAGGCCTCTGCCACCCAAGCAACACCCGGCTCCAGGTCTCTGCTCCACCGACCATGGACACCGCCCACAAGCAGGAGTACAAGGTCCGCGACCTGACGACACGCTCCGTCACCCTCTTTCCCTCGCGCGCCCAGGTCGTGCGCGAGCTCAAAGACGTCTCGCTCAAGGTATGCTGACGAACCCCGCCCTCGCCCCTCCCCCCCCCCCCCCCGCCCCTGCCTCGCCCCTCGCTGCCTGGCGGCCTCCTCCGTGCAGCCAACACACGCTAAGACACGAAACGAAAGCCCGGCGTCAACGAGATCACCGTCATCGGTCTCACGCCCACCGTCGACGAACACTCCATCAAGGTCGAAGGCACCGGCCTCGCCGTCATCTCCAACATCACCGTCGAGCTCCAGTCCAATCGAGACATCTACGAGGACATTTACCCCGACGCCGACAACGACAGCGACGAGACCTCAGACGATGAACAGATTCTAGATCCGAACGCCTCCCAGGAGGAGGCCGCAGAGCTCAAACAGGTCCGCCAGCAGCTCGTGGCCCTGCGCGATGGACAGACCCGCGCCAAGGAATCCCTGGCCAGTGCCGAGAACCGTCTCAAGATCCTCGACGCCTACGGCAAGCACATGGCCGAGGAGGATGGCACCGACATTGTGGGAAGTCTGGACAAATACCGGAGCGAGCGCGAAAAGGTATTCGACGACCACATGAACGGTGTCAAGGACTCCCGCGACATTCTTCTCCGCATCGAGGAAGCCACCAAGGTCGAGACCCGCCTCGTCGCCGAAGCGGCCAAGGCCCAGCGCAAGGCCGTCAAGGCCTGGCTCAAGGCGCAGAAGACGAAGCAGACGGAGCAGACCAAGAAGGACAGACGCAAGGCCGAGCAGCAGAAGGAAAAGGTCCGCGTCCGCACCGAGCGCGAGAAGTTTTGGCCACGCCAGTGCTACGCCGTGTGCATCACCCTCGACGCCACCTCCTTCACCCCCATGTCATCGCGGCGCAACTCCGTCTCCAGCGACCTCGTCAAGGTGCCCGTCGCGGGATCCGAGGATGCCGTCAACCCCTCCCAGTGGACATGCGACCTCGTCCTGAGCTACGTCACGACGGCCGCTTTCTGGTCCCCCAGCTATGATCTCCAGCTCTCGACGACGACCAACAAGGCCACCCTCTGCTTCGACGCCCAGCTCACCAACAAGACGTCCGAGACCTGGAGCCACTGCAAGATTGTCCTCTCGACGTCCCAGGCCTCCTTCTCCGGCATGGCCGATGCCATCCCCACCCTCGCGCCCTGGCGCATCAAGCTCGCCACCCGGGGCACCGTCAGAGACAACTCGGCCCTGCTCGCGAGCCGCGAAGAGCTCCGCGAAAAGGAGTCGTGGCAGGCACAGCGCAAACAGCTGCCCCCACAGCAATCGCGCAATGCCCTCTTTGGACGACCGCCGCAGAATCCCTGGGGAGCCAGCCATGGTTGGGGAGGACAGCAGCAGCAGCAGCAGCAAATGCAACAGCTGCAGCAGCAGCAGCAACAACAGATGCAGCAGCAGCAAATGCAACAACAGAGTCTGCAGAGCACTGCCACCGACGTGTTTGGTGCCCCCGAGGAGGTTCTCCGGAAGAAGGCAGCCAAGACAGCCAACATGATGGCTGTCGCCTCATCCTCGTTTGCCCCCAATGCTCGATCTGCTTTCCCTCCGCCGCCCGCCCCGAGCGCTCCCGCTCCCGGAGGCGGTTCAGCGCTACATGCAAGCGTGCCCACGAGCGGGGGGCTGTTTGGTGCGGGCGGAGGAGGATTCGGGAGCCACGCGAGCCGAGGCGGCGGACTGTTCGCTTCGAGGCCAGCAGACCTGGCCGATGACGAGACCGAAGTGAACGTTGATGTCGAACCCGAGCTCGATTTCGAAGAGTCCGCCATGGAGGAGACGGGCCTCACGACGACATATGACCTCTCCAACTCGAAGACGCTGGCCCCACGCTCGACGGCGTCTAAGCAGCGCGTCGTCCGCCTCACGCTGCCTGACGTCGTTTTCAGTCACACCGTCGTCGCCAAGTACCGACCCGTCGCCTACCTCAAGGCGCGCCTCCGCAACATCAGCAAGATGACGCTGTTGCGCGGGCCCACCGGCCTGACCCTCGACGGCGCCTTCATGGGCCGCACCAACCTGCCGCGGTGCAGCCCTGGCGACTCCTTCAGCCTGTCGCTCGGCGTCGATCCCGCCGTCAAGGTCCTGTACCCGAAGCCCGAGGTCCGCCGCGGCACCACGGGCATCTTCAAGGTCGAGAACAGCGGCGTCTACACGCGCGCCATCACCCTCATCAACACGCGCAGCTCGACCGGCGGCGGCAAGGCCATCAGGCTGCTCGTGCACGACCAGATGCCCGTATCGGAGGACGAGCGTCTCAAGGTGGAGATCCTGCAGCCGAAGGGTCTCTCCGTCGGCAGCGGTGGCGTCGGTGCCGGCGCGCCTACGCGTGATGGCAAGGAGGACAGGGACTGGGGCACCGCTGTGGCGTCGCTCAAGAAGGAGGGCGAAGTCAGCTGGGATGTCAGCCTCAAGGCCGGCCGCGGCGTCCGACTCGGCCTGGAGTATGTCGTTGCGCTGCCGGGGGGTGAGCACGCCGTGCAGTGTCAGGACGTCGGCAAGACGTGGACGCAGATGAACGAGTGAGCGTGGGATGGATTTGCGCCTTCAGTCGATGATGGGTTGGCTGCATACGTAGATAGAATGAAACAGAATGATACCCTTAGCCGCGTTTGGTGTGCATGAAGAGTGATTTCACATGCAGTCTAGCAGCTCTGTCGAAATACGTGGTCCCCGATACGTAAATCTCCCGTGAGGAATCCGAGCTGCAACGAGAAGACAAAGCGTAGCCAAGGGCCAAGTCTGCTGGATGAGGAATAGACAATTGAACACTTTAAATCTTGCTCATTCACAGAGCATTGCCGGCCTGATCCAATATCTGAATAGATTCTGTTTACTCTGTAGGACCCTAATGAGTGCCTTTCTACCAAGAGGCTGCTGCCCAGGGAGACATCCCGATGAAAGTTTCCCCTTTCTTGACCACACAATTGTTGCTAATACTGTCAAACACATCACACAGCCGGAGGTTATGGAAAGTCCCACATCAAAGCTATGTTGTCTCTTAACTATCCACTGAAGGCCGCGTGCTCATCTTCATGGGCGCTCGAGTGCCCCGATCTCATCCCCTGATCTCATCCCCTTGATTCTCGACATCTTCACCCTAAACGATCTACCCCGCCCGTCCTGAAGTCTCATCTCTGGCTCCATCAAGCCCCCTCACCACCCGTCCTCATGAAAATGTTCGACGGCTTCTTCCAGTCCTTGAACTCGTCGCTCACGCCGTAGTCAATTTCGGGCCCCTCCTGCCGGAACCCAAGCTTCACATAGGCCCCGCGTCCCATGGCCGACGCCTCCGTCAGCGCCTCGAGACCCCCCCTCCTCTCTGCCTCCTCAAGCCCCCACCGCACGAGCTTCTGCGCGATGCCCCTCCGCTGGAACCCCATCTCGACGGCGCACAGGTCCAGCACCATGACGGCCGGCTGCGCCTCGTCCGCCTTGGCCCTGACGACCTCGGCGCGCCGCCTGTGCAGCCCCCGCTCGACCTCGACGCAGTACCGCTGCGCGCGCGCGTCGCCCGGGTACAGCGCCTCGAGGTCGGCCGTCGCCCGGAGGTCCTCGACCGGCTTGTCGCCGCGGCCCTCGACCATGGACAGCTGCACCCAGATGGCGACGCCGACGATGCGCCGCTGTCCGTCCCCGCCGTCCGGGTCCGGCAGCGTCGCCTTGAGGAACACGGTGTTCGGGTCGCCGGCGGCATCGCGCGTCGTCTTGCGGAAGCGCGCCGCCATGCGCGCCGCCGCCGCCGCCTGCCCGGCCGGCGTGTCCCAGCCCGGGTTGAAGTGCACCCAGATCTCGTCGCCGGCCTGCTTGGCGAACGCGTTGGTGACGACTTGGTGCGCTTCCGGGACGTCGTCGGCGCTCGTGATGGGGTCGATGCGGAGGTCTGGGGAGGCGGCCATGCTGGAGGCGTCGTTCGTCTTGTGGCTTCTGACTCCTGCGGCGTTGGGATGGAACTGAAGATAGAGTGTTGGTCTACGGCGTATTGAAGGATGAAGGATGAATGCAATGACATGTCGCCTACTCTCCCGGAAAACCCCTCGTTATGAACGACGCCGCGGTGGGCTGTTTTGTCCTTACCTAATGGCCGCATTCATTGTAACGGACCGCCGATCGGGCCACGATCTTTCTGCTCGAGTCCGGGTAGCGCCTTGGCTGGCGCCACTCTTGAGAGAACACATCAGCAAAACTCGAGTTCAGGAATGGATTGATTGCGATGTGACTTGATTCTACAGTGTTGTCTATCCACCATGCTAGGTCTTGTCATATCTTCGCTCAAGATTTCGCATTCGGACTGTCCAGATGTGGCGTCTCGGACCTCGGACACGGCTCGTCTTGGCGCGCACACAAGTATTAGAGGGGGTCTGTCTATCGGACAAGAAACGCGGCTCTATCGCTCTCTTCGTTTACTTGTTTTTCACGGAAAACAGATCGGACAACGTACCCATGGCCATACAAAGGTCCATGACCGAGTATCAGTCAGACCTTGCGCATCGCCGACTGTACGGCCATCCAGACACATGGAACAAACAACGGCATCATCCATGACCGCGAACTACGGGGAAACACTACACAAGCAATCTATTGGACAGCGGCTTGAAGAAAGTCGCAGTGCTCTTACAGAATAAGCACCCTGACAGCACCAACTCCCACACAGCAGTCATGCAGAATAGCCTAGGCCTAGGCACTACCCTCAGCCTCCTCGCTCTCATCCTTCTTACTCTCGGGCTTCTGGCCATACACGACATAACTGAGCGGTTCATGTCAGCAGGTGAAATCTGAAGACAAGAGAGTCACTTACATCGGCCAGTAGGAGTGAATCCTGGTGTCCTTCAGCTCACGGCGCACCTTGGCCAGCAGGACCTCCATCTCTTCGTGCGACCAGCCGAGAACGCGGGTATACACAGCAGCGCTCAACCCATGAAGGCCGGACGTGATGTTCTCAAGGTTCCACATGCCTAGGAAAGTGAGCTTGCGTTTTCAACCATGCTTTGTAGTCGGGCATCGCGTCGATGATGGGTAGACATACCTAGCTCCTTGTACTTGGGATCCTTGGGCCACGTGTTCTGGGGCCACTTGAAGACGACCTGCTGCACATTCTGGAAGCCCTGCGCCTCGAGCTGCTTCTTGTAGTCGAAAGCGCCGTCAAAGGGCCGGCCAATCTTCCGCGTGCCTTCCAGCAACTGCGTCACCCACGCGTGAGTGGACGTGTCTTCCGTCAGGGTGCCGTCGTCGCTGGTGATGGGGCAGATGTCGGCAATCTCAAACCATCCGCCGGGCGTCAGGTTCTCGTACGCCTTCTGGAAGAAGCCCGGGAAGTCGGCGAGCGCAGCGGTCATCATGCGGCTGTAGATGAAGTCAAACTTCTTGTGGAACGTCCACGGCGCCTCAATGTCATCGACGAGAAAGTTCACATTGGGGGCGACAAAGGGACTCTGGATGGGGCTGAGATCGACACCGACGACCGACGCCGAGGGGAACTCGTCCGCAAAGTCGTTGGCCCAGACGCCCGTGCCCGTGCCGACGTCGAGAGCGTTGTGGATCTGGTGGCCGCCGCGGCCGGCGGGCGACAGGTACAGCTTGTTCTCGAAAGTCATGAGGAACAGGTGGTGCTGGAGGTCGAGGCGCTCCTGCTCGTCATTGTCGTTGGGCATAGGATAGGCGCCATCCTTGTAGGCGTGATACGTTCGGCCGTTCTCCTGACGATATCGGAGAATGCTCGAATTGATTGACGTGGTAGAACTGGCGACCGAACCTACCGCCGAGTCGGCGTCGTCGCCGCGGATCGCGGCTTCGTCAACGTCGAGGACATCCGGATGGGCCGCAGTGGCTTGCGGGATCGGACTGGACATGGCGAGATGGCTGAGGAGCAAAAGGAACGCTAATCAAGATGGCTGGGCCGAGATGAGACAAGCGCGCACACAGCAAAGTCAGTGGGGGAGGACAGCGAGCACGAGGTGTGAGACAAAAGCTTCCACTCCGGCGATCGATCAATGGGGCTGGAAGATCAACACGAGGTGATCCATGTCATGGTGGAAATTGTTGGTCTTCATTTCACGTGTTCAATTGCCTTAAGGTGCGGCCTTTTACCTCCCCTGGCCCCCCCCCCCCCCCCCCACGCTTGTTGAGCCTGCGGCTAGGACGAATGTGGCCTGTTCCAACCGAATCGTGTCCTACCCCGCCGAACAAGGAGGGGCTCGTGGGTATCGCCAACATGGTGTGGAGAAGTACATGTAGACAGCTTTCCTCAGGATCAGGAACCCTCTCAGCAAGTAATGGGCCTCGGGCCAGCAGGCGTGTATGGCTTCAGATTGTTGTCCGGCTTCCCCGTGTTGCCGTAGATCATGATGGTGATTGCCGGGTCGTTCGCCTCATAAACACCCGGGATAGCAAATGTCTCTGCTGGTGCAAAGTTTCCTCCGCGGGTGACTCTCAAGTTGACACATGAAGTGTAAAACTGCGAGCCCTTGGGAACATAAGCAGAATGAAGGGCCAAAAGCTCGACGCGCAAAAGGTAGTCCCCGGGTGCGATGCATTCCGGAATGTCAAAGTACGTCCATCCATCCTGCTGTAGCAGGTTGTCGACGCCCCAAATGCCCCTCGTGTTGTCAAAACCGTCCTCGGCAATCTTGAACCACTCAAGGTTGGCGTGGGACGACGTCGCAGCGTCATCGACCTTTGCGAGCCATGCAGTGATAGGTCCCTTATGCGATGCGGCAATCGGGTTGTCAACGTCTCCAGGGTATTGTTCGCCGCCAAGGATGTGTTGATACCAAGCGCCGATCTCATCGCCAGCCTCAACTTCAATCACATTGGTTGAAGTATGCGTGACGAGGCCGCAAGTCAGATCATTTGAGCTGACATCCTCAACTGGATTGTTGATGCCGGGAGCTCGGAGTCCGGAAAGGGGAGGGGCCTCAACACCGTTGACGGAGACAACCTGGGTACGCATCAGAATCAAGTGATGACTAGTGAAATGAGACACACGAATCTTACCTGGAAAATAGCATGGCCCTGGGAAAGGGCCGCAAAGGCCAAGGCTGAGATCGTGTATTTCATGGCTGTATATCCTCGAAAGCGTTTGAATCGAATGAGTAGGTGCTGAGGGATATCGTGTTACAAGCTGGCATTCGCAGTCATCTTATAGTGATCAACATGTTGATCCAAGATCGTATTCAAGGTTGGTCAATTTTTTGAAGAAGCGCACAATGGTTGGGGGCCTTCTGCACGGGGGCCTTTCATCTTTGGGATGGGGTCCTTTCGCTGCCGGGGCCTTCAGAGATGGGGGCAGATCCAACCTCGGAACCACTGCCGTATTCCCAAATGGCTCCTAGATTCCTCGTTGCGGCCAAGGGTGTAGAACAGAAAGCATTGTGATCTGAACGAAGGAGATCAGCAAATGAGTTCCTCACATGAGGTGAGCTGCTCAAGGGCGAATCTGGGCACGTGGATACTAAGCCTGCGAGAGCGCATCTTTAATATAGCTGATTGGACCAAGTTTGATTGTTGGAGGAACGTTCATAGCATCAAGGGTCTTGGTCAATCAGAAATATCGGGCCTTTGTTGGCGTGCTGCGGACTGTGTTACACATCACGCGACTCCAGACCAAAGGCCGTGCGATCGGAACTTCCTGCCAACCAGCGTTCCTTTTTCGGAAAACGGAGGTCTTTAGCACCATAGGCTTTTCAAAGCCACGGCGACATCGCATCTGGGCAGCCAAGCTCGGAATCGTTCGTGCCATTGGCCATCCCTCACTCGGCGACCGGCTGGGTACCATGGTTGGAGCCAAAGTTCAGCGATCCCTGCCGGATTCGCCACGGAAGCGATGAAAGCAACGTGTCAGTCAAGCCGGCTATTCGTGAAGACATTCCGAGATCGACATGATCTTGATGTAGCGATGCTAGATCGAGTTGAAGGGATCTCCAGTGAGGAGAAATTTGATTTCTTCGTTTGACAGCTGACTATATTGCAGGCCCAAATTAACCATCGACACGAAAATAAAGAACGCAGGTTCTCCGAAAGATCACTATCAGTAGCAAGGGTTTAAGTATCCAGACAGCATTGGGTATAATAAAGAGAGTACAGCGGCCACTCAGTGGCATCGCAGCCAAAGATTCCACGAACGACGCCACATCCCAGCCTTGGGTACCAAAATCTCCATAGGATACATAACATCATGACATCGTAGCAAAACTTAAATCATCTCAGATCCGTCACTGGCAAGCTTCACAATAACAACTTCCTCGTTCTTGCTGCCATTCTTCAAGGCTTTCTTCTTCATCCGAGCCTCGCGGAAGGTCAGGTACGCTTCAAGACCGATGGTGGAGGACCCTAGAGCAAATGGCGTCGATAAGCCGAAGCCTACACTAAGCGCAATGTCGAAGGGAATGATCTGCGTCAGGCAAAGTGCAACGGAGCTGAGGTCTGCGAAGCCAGTCATGGCGGAAGCCACGGCTAAAAAAAGGAAAACTTGATTGACAATGTTGCGGACGTTGGGGAGGCTGAGAAGGCCTTGAGGGAGTCGTTCGCCGATGCTCTGAGGCGGCGATCTGACCATGACAAGAATGTGAAGCGCCACGGCCGCAATTCCCACGAGGGTTGTAATAAGACTGATGATCTACTTTATGTCAGCTGAGGTGAGAGGACTTGAGGAGGTGGCGGGAACTTACTCCATGAGCGGTACGGAAGTGGCGCGTGTTACCATAGAGGACGACACCGAAAACGAAAACGATAAGAATTGAAGGGGCAATAACAAATAACCACAAGATATTGTTCCACTTAGGAATCTTCGGCAGGAGATGAGGAAGGTTGGCTCTATGCAACAGGCTACGCATGCTCTCGAGGCCGAGCGCGATGGGTAAAACATTGACGAAGGCAATGATGGCGAACAAGACTGTGACGGAAAAGTAAGTAACAATGTAAAAGAATAACCAGGATCTGGAAGACTGACTGTGGATGACAATGAAAGCAATCCAGGCGGCCAGCTTCATGCCATTAATCTCAATGCCATTGACGGCGCCAAGTATGTTATTACTGAAGCTTTCGCGAATGACCCTGCCATCGACAGCGTACGTGTTCCCCTCGTTCTTGATCTTGATGATTCCCGTGGGAATCACCTGCCGGATTGTTTCTGTAGTATTATCGTTGTTCAGAGAGCCTGTCGAGATGGTCTTGCTTCGGAGTAAGCCAAGCAAGATGTTGCCGAGGCCACCGCCCACGCCCTGGCACGTCAGGGCATCGATGCCCCCTTGAGCCGCTGATGAAACGGTCTGCGCATTTATGATGACAGACAGGTTGAAGCCTTTTGACGTGTCAACATTGACAGAGGGGTCCTGTCGGGAGGCTAGCCCGAGGCCCCTGCGCCAACGTGCCGGGAGGGAGGGCATATTGCCGGGAGCCGGTGCAGCCGGGACTTGCATGTCTGGAGCTGGAAGTCCAGGCGCTGGTACAGCTGAAGGAGGCGCAGGGACCGCCGGGGTGCCCGTAGGGTTGGTGATGAGCATTGAAACCAGCAAAACACCTTGGCCACCGATGCCAGCTCCAAGGCCAGCTGCAGCACCACCTATGCCGTCGTCAAATTGAACTTTTGTAGGGGGCATGGCGCCCATGCGCGCGTTTCCTGTCTGCGTGTTGGAGCTAGAATCGACCAGGGCTTGAACGCCGCCCATGCCTTGGATGGTGTCGCCTGCACCTTGCAGTAGTCCACTGGCGAAACCTTGGGCAACACGGCTGATCTCAACATTCTGCCCGTTGATGGAAATGGTACTGGGGATGCCACCAGTATTGTTGGCAGGAGGCTGCATGCCCATGGAACCGCCAAGCATGCCAGCTAGCTTTGAAGCTGTACCATTTTGCAAGAAGCTAGCCGTCAGCTCCTTAGTAAATGTTTGCGAAACACCAAGAATGTCGATTGCGCCGTTGGGCATCTGGCGCATGGGAACAGGCATACTTGCCTGAAGGCCGAGGCCAACGGCTGCACCCTCTCCCAGACCTCTGCCAATGCCGGCGGCGGCGTCTGGAAGGTTTTTCATGATGGCAGCCGTGTTATTGGGGTTATTCAGTGAGCCAATGATGGCTTTGGTGTCGATATTTGAGGTGACCGATTGCGTCAAGCCGAAACCAAGGGTACCGGCGATATTGGCAATGCTTGTTTCATTGCTGACCATCAACATGGGTGATGCGGGATTGAGATTGAGGCCAGCAACAGTGCCGTTTCCAAGGCCCTGAGCAAGTGACATGACGAGTGGCTGCACGTCAATGCCAGAAGTGAGGGATGAAACATTGACAGCGCCAAGCAGGCTCGAGGTAAGGCCAACGCCGAGATTCTGAATGGTAGGGTTTAAGCCCGTTGCTTCCATCTTGTTATCAGATGCCACCTTGGCAGCGATCTGTGATGTCCTTTCGGCTGTCGAGATGTTGAGTCCCTGAGCAGCGCCGGCCCCAACACCGATACCCAAGAAGAGGCCCGCTCCGGAAGCATCTGCAGCGAGGCTACTTCCAATGTTGCCCAAGCCACCGGAGAGAAGTTTGCCCAGGCCGCCCATCATACCTCCAGCTCCGGGGGCGGCATCTCCGCCGCCACCAAATAGATTGCCGAGTGAGGGCAGCTGGCGCTTCTCAATAGCGGCGGCTTCGCTTTCGGGAACGCTACGGAGCATTTTTATACGGTAGGCTCGCAGAATCTCGGTTGCCTCGTGCAGCTCAGGAGACGCGTAACGGGTCGCCAGAATATTAGACATGTCTGCAGTGAAGTCGACCATGGCGAGAATGCTTCGCCGAAGTTTGACGTCGTTTTCAAGAGCTTGAGCAGTCTCTGGCGTAACAAAGTCGTCTAGGGCCGTTTCCCATGACCCTTCATAAGTGGTGTCCATGTTCCCCACAGCCTCTCGCGGGAAGTACTGCGTCTGGATCTTTCGGCCGACGCCGAAGACAGAGAGAATAAGCAAAAGTCCGATAATCTTGTTCGTTGTAGTCGCGCTTTTCCTTCCCGCTGACTTTGTGGATAACTTGGAGAGCTCTTCGGCCACGCATTTGGAGATGGTGAATTCCATCGTGATTAGAAGGATTATGGAGAAGATCGCCCGCGATAAGAGTCCTGCTCTAGGAGGAAATGTAGAAGTCTGACTTAGCAGGCAATCGTTGATACGCCGGATGCGAGACTGGGAAGCGAAAAGTCCATCTTGAACAACAGAGAAAAATATTGAAAGATGGGTAGAGTGAAGGGGCCATAGCCATATATCTACCAAGATGTTTGGGTAGGTTAAAACATGTCAAGTTGAAGCCGGGCGTGGAATTCGGCCCAAGTGTCGTGGTCCACTCCATTCGTCACGGACATCATTGGGGGCTACCACCGGGCCAGGGAGGTTCCATAGCAAAGAAAGAGACTAATTCGCGAATAATAACCATACCATGGAGGGTAGGCGACTCCATCACGGGATTGGCCTGAGCCATACGGCAGGGCCCGTCGACGAAAGAGAACACCATATCTGGTAAGGCCCGAGGTGGATACAATGCGGCGACTCGGAACAGCGGCAAAATCAAGATAACAACTATTATTCGCACAGAAGGCCGGTTGAAGTATCATGAACCCATGAGATGAAGGCTGAGCGTCGGAGATTGCTGAGAGAGAGATCAGGGTGGTGTGCCGTCTGATGTCCTTGACAGGACGTATTGTTTCTGTAGGGAATCCGGAGTAGAGAGGGCGATCCCATAGCCTGTATGGGTAACCGATGCTTGTGTCACCGGAGAATTCTTCAAGTGCTCGGTGGTCAATTGAGGGTGGTAGGTTTCAAAAGTTCAGATGACGTCGCAGAACAACAGGAGTTCTGGGGAGGCCAAGGCCGGAGTAAGCAGGGCCTGGACAGTGGTGGGGTACGTCTGCCGCAGAAAAACACAGCCTTTCAAGACGAAGCAGCTCGAATGTCTGAGCATCACAAGTCGGTCACTGCGCACGCCCGGACTCATGTTTGTTTCCCGACTTTACTGTTCTAGGTAACCACTTCATGACTTGGTGGAGACCACGAATCAGGGCGGCCGACCTGAATACGTTCTGAGTCTTCTCTTGCCAGCGCCGCTCCCAGTCTTGTCGCACACACACAAATGGTGTGTGTGCCCGAGACTTGAACTAGCAAGAATCAAATGTGCGGTCGTCCCCACGATGAGGTCAATCATATGCCGACAAGATAGCGCTACTTGATGACGGATTGAGGCAGCGATACGACAGCTTGGTCAGCTGGCGATTAGCATACACTCCTTGTGCGAAAACACCTGTCTCCAACACGATAACCGTGGCAGACGCGATGCATAAGTCTGCACCACGCTTCACTTGACAGGCATGAGCCAGTCAGTCGAAGAAATGTACACTCTGCACATCATGGGCTGGGGAAATCATCCTTAAGCCAGCATGCGGGCTGACTCTACGCAAAGTCGTGCACTTCGACGCTGTTCTGCAACAAGAATTAATCGGGACATGAAGTCATTTCTGGCATACACTGACCTATGTACTAATTCAAGGTGGCTCGGGTTTTCATCGTACGCGGGGCCCAAGTGATTCCAGAATTGCCCATCTACATGTACGCGTGCGAGCCAATTTTGCAACAGACTGGAAGTGGCACCCAACTCGGCTTGGCTCTTTGCCTGAGATGACCGGAACCCGGAAGCCTTCAGCTGGGTTCGTCGCTTCCGGTGATTATGAATCCGCGTTTTAAATCGCATCTCGTCTTTCAGTGCTTCATAAGCGCCCAAGATCATCTTGTAATTTTTCTTTTCACTAAAAGCTTCCGAACGAACCACAAGCAGTTGCTCGACTTTTCATTTATAGGCAGATGAACAAACTAGTTGAACATTGCGATGGGGCAAGCAAGAGAGTCGCCAACGCCCACTCACTATGGGTGAACGCAGTGTCAGACACGGAGCTCTCGGTGCCTGCCAGCCCACAGCCATACCCCAAGTGCTGCAGACTTTGCGAAAAGTCCAGACTCCGCCCAGACCATCCTTGCCAGTCTGCGGAAAGGAGGCAGCTGATGTTAATGTAATAAATGATTCTAGACACATAGGTGTCCTGGAGAGCTTCTAGCCGCGAGCATTAGATCGGATCATACCTAGGTTCCCGCGATGATCATGTCAATCTTCACATTATCCAACGAGCGCATCTCTTTACTAGACGCCGAGGATGGTTTAATAAGAGCGTTCATGTGATTAATTACTCACACCCGAGAGTCTCGGTGTTGTAGAGGGGCAGCCCGGCTAATAACGGGGATGAATCAATCATGCGCTGCAGCCAGGACGCTGTCAGTCTCGGATGTCCCTGGCGCAAGATGTACTCAGCTGGACGGGATATCCAGGTCGACAACTTTCAAAGGCGATTACTCAAATGTGTGGCTGGGACGTGATCGGTGAACCTGGACGGTTGCAATCGCGAAAGGCGCAGCCTGCTTGTGGCAGAAAACCTAATGATCGCGTTGCCTTGTGCAATCGTCCCACTCTTGCAGTCGAATCCAGACAGCTTTGGATATGGCTTCACGTAACGAGAAAGAGGGCGTGCTTATGGCGGAACTTAATATTAAGCGAAAGGCGCTTCCCCGGAGTCAACAGGTGCCAGATACCAACAGTCACGCCGAATCGAGAACAAGACGATGGAATGCAATGCAAGGCTGTGACCAGGGATAACGTGGCTTCCATGCATGATCCGACTCAAACAGGACCTGCGTGCAGCCACCGGCCGGCAAACTTGTTGCCGTGGATTGCCCTCTCATTCTCACTGTCGACCCTGGTCCATGGGAAGTTGGATGACGCCTGACAGAAGCCGGCCAAGGGTTCAAGTTGCTAGCTGAACGTACTCCATCAAGGATGCGACAATGTCGCGGGAAGGGCGCAAGGCGCTGTCCCGCCGAGGAAATGAGCGTCGCCTGGACCATGACATAGATTATGTGGTCCGTCCGGCTTTGCAGAATGGCCTCTCAATGACCATACTTTGTTTTGTTGAGCCGCTTCGTGCAGCATTTTCCCGGCCGGTCGAGTCATGCTGGCGTACAGCACGAGAATTCAAGGCTGGGCACGGGAACAACAAGGGCTTTACGCATCGCCTGTGTCGGGTCAGACCGGACTTGCTAGCGGTCGCCTGGAAGACGGACCAGAACAGCCGATTCTTGGTGGCGTTTGTTGTTTATTCAGCATGTTGCTTGGTCAAGTCACCGCATCCGCGACACGGCTAAGGCGGTCAGTTGCCTCCGGTGCGCTACGCCGTCCTACCTCCGTAGTCTCCGGGCATGCCGTCGGAGATGTCGCTCAGGTTATGGCCAGTTCGGGAGAAGGAAAAGATTCTGCCCAAGCTTTGATAGTGACATAATACGTATGACCGACGGAATGTCATACATTGCAAAAGCGAGAGACATGAGTGGTACAACCTGATGACGCCCAGACATGACAGCGAGCGGGATCCTCTTTTGCCCCTCCAGCCCCCCGTACCCGACGCGTCCGACACCAGCAGGGTTTGCACCAACGAAAGAGGAAAACCGTGGTTCATAATCTTCTAGAAGGCTTCTGAATTGTGAGACCTCCAATAGAGCTAGTCCCCAAGCATCGACAGCGTCGGAGTGGTTCGGAGTCGTGGGGCACTAATTACGTACAGCCTTACGGGATTTCGGCACTGGTTACTAGGGGCGGAACAGATCCAGGGCAGCCTATGGGAGGGCACCTGTTCGAAGATCCAAGCCCCCAAGTGAGCCTGATCGGGAAGCTCGCACCTTGGCCCTGTTTGATGGCGAAGAGCCTCACTTCTTGGCCCGACGACATCCATCACAAAGGAAAAAAGACAAGCCATTCTCAGGAATGGGATCAGATAGTGCTGTTCAAGGTATCTGGTGCCAGGATTCAGGCCGCCGATCATGGATTTTGGATACTGACTCGACCCTGAGCAACAAAAAAAGACGCACGTATCTTTGGCCACGCTGATGAGCACACCCCCGACGAGCATCCGCCCCATTTGGTCCGTTCACTGCGTCCACACACTATTATCGTATGTCACAATATCCACACTATTACCCCTTTTTTACCCTTCTTTTACCCTCACAAAACTCTGCATCCTCGTTCAAGGGCCCCAGTTGTATCAGATGATGATGGCTTCCCCAAACATCGCACGCACGCGTCTGCCTCGTGCCCTGGTGAATAACGGGCAGAATACTACCTTTTTCGCCTTCGGGGTCATGCCAACTTTGCGGAGAACCCACGATGGCTTGCGTCTCCCCCGCATCCATCGCCATCAGTGCCGGCAACTGAGCAAAGCTTACTCTTATCTGTGGATGCTGTTCTGTGAGGCGTGAAACCTGGTCTCGATGGACCTGGGCCTGACCCACGACTGTAGTGCTAATCGGCCTCACCCCGGGGTCTCCGCGTTTGCCACCTATATCTAAAGCCCGTTCGTCCCTCTCATCCAGTTGTTCATTCCTTTCCAACAACTCATCGCTGCATTTGTCCTTCTTCAACCAACCCTTCTTCATAATACCCCCGTGAGCCCTATCTCAACATACGGCCGCGGAACCACCGCACTCCTACCTTCCACGTTCATCCTCCCTTGATCGACAACATGGACCACGACGAGATTGTTCAATCGCGCTACGCCGAGGCCAACAACGAGAAGAAGGCTCAAGACGTTAAGCAGGGCGAGGACAGCGAAAAGATGGCACAGGAGGAAGCCATCGCGCCTCAATTCTCCCGAGGCGCGCCCTTCGGCGAGGTCGTCGGCGAGGTCACCGACCTCAACCGTGCCGACCTGGAGAAGCAGAAAGCCGCCGAAGGCTCGGCGCATTTCCACCGCCTCGGCTGGAAGCGCCTTACCATTGTCCTCATCGTTGAAGCCATCGCCCTCGGCAGTCTCAGCATCCCCTCTGCGTTTGCAACTCTCGGCATGGTCGCTGGTGTCATTCTTTGTGTCGGTCTCGGTCTTGTTGCTATCTACACCAGCTACGTAGTTGGTCAGGTCAAGCTCAAGTACCCTCACGTCTCACACTATGCTGATGCTGGTCGCCTCATCATGGGTCGCTTCGGCTACGAGCTCGTCGGTGCCATGTTCGTCCTGCAGTTAACTTTCCTCGTCGGATCGCACTGTCTGACGGGCACCATTGCCTTTCTCAATCTGACAGACAACGGCGCTTGCTCCCTGGTGTTCGGCGTTGTCTCGGCCATTATCCTCCTCATTCTTGCGGTCCCACCTTCGTTCGCCGAGGTAGCCATTCTCGGCTACATCGACTTCGTATCGATCGTCCTCGCCATTGGAATTACCATCATCGCGACCGGTGTCCAGCGCGGCGACATCACCACGGCTGCCTGGTCTGCCTGGCCCAAGGAGAGCATCACCTTCGCCGAGGCCTTCATCGCCATCACCAACATTGTGTTCGCCTACAGCTTCGCCGTTTGCCAGTTCTCCTTCATGGACGAGATGCACACCCCCAAAGACTACGTCAAGTCGATCTGGGCTCTCGGCATTATTGAGATTTTCATTTACACTCTGACCGGCGCCCTGATTTACGCCTTCGTGGGCCAGGAGGTCCGCTCGCCGGCCCTTCTGTCCGCCGGCCCCACTGTCTCCAAGATTGCCTTTGGCGTCGCGCTTCCCGTCATCTTCATTTCTGGCTCGATCAACACCACCGTCGTTGGTCGCTACATTCATGGACGCATGTACAAGGATTCCATCGTCCGCTTCATCAACACCAAGATGGGTTGGATCACCTGGCTGGCGCTCATCACCGTCATCACCATTATCGCGTGGATCATCGCGGAGGCCATCCCCTTCTTCTCCGAGCTCCTCTCCATCAGCTCGTCTCTCTTCATCTCCGGCTTCACCTTCTACTTCCCCGCTATCATGTGGTTCATGCTCATCAAGGAGGGCAAGTGGAACGCCAAGGAGAACCTTCTCAAGTCTGCGGGTAACGGCCTGGCGTTTGTCATTGGTATCGTCGTGCTGGTTTGCGGTACCTACGCCAGTATTGAGGAAATTGTAAGTTTTCGCCACCCACCCTGATGAGTGTGTCGGGATTCAAATGCTAATTATAATCTTTCACAGAACCTCAAGTTCCGCAATGGCACTGTCAGCAGCCCCTTCAGCTGCGCCCCTCTGGCTTAAGCGATACGACCTTTATGATAGCTGTATATGTGATGTAGCGTCAATTAATGATTCCCTTGTTTGTACACCTTCACTTTTTTGAAAGAAAACCTTGAATGTTGTTTCTTGCGTGGCTGCTAGTGTGGTGAATCCTCCTGTCGGGATTAAGCTTTGACGAGTGACCAAGCTTCCGCCTATCGGCTCATGCATGTCGCAACGATGTGATAGTTCAAAGTGTATCCTATCTCACAATATTGCCCCTCGGAGATCCTTCCTTTGTGCATCTTTGTATCAACAACTTCGCCGCACTCCCTTCATACGCGATATGACCAATCAAACAGTCGTCGGCGAAAGGCCCAATGACACCGGAAGCGAGGACTTTTTATTCTTCTACATGCCTGATGCGTTGCATGGCGAGTTTTGCCAGTGGTATCCTTCCGTTTTCGAAGTCTCACGCGCAGTGATCCAAGATCTCGTGGGCAATGGCTTGGCCCCTGACGTGGGGGGAAGCGTCGATTCTACATCTGGCATCCCTGCCATGATCAAATTCAATTGCGCCGAGCAATTTATGATGCTTTGCAAGGCAGCTCGCTTCAGCGACCACGATCGCCAGCGTCGAATTATGGCAACTGACAGCCCAAAAGAACAGAAGAGACTGGCAAAGCTGACCGTCAGCTTTACGGAAGCACGATGGGACGAGGTGAAGAGTCAGGTCGTCGAAGCTGGCAACTTGGCCAAGTTCACTCAGAACATCCATCTCCAGAGGAAGCTGTTGGCTACAGGCGACAGAATACTCTGTGAAGCGGCATCCAGAGATCGTGTTTGGGGAATCGGGTATACGGCTAAGCATGCAATGTCGCAAAGAAAGCATTGGGGGGAGAACAGGCTGGGGAAAGCTCTGATGGCTGTTAGGACGCGACTTCGTGAAGTTGAGGAAGAGCAGAGACGCGTTGAGAGACCGTGGGAGTACAAGGAGACTGTCACTTGAGAGGTACCGGTTCAATTTGGCTTTTATCCATTCGCTCACCGCAGCCAAGGAAATGGGCAGCGATCGAATACTTCAAATTTGGACAGTTAGTTTGCAAACGTTATCAATTTTGAGCTCGACACCTGATACGTCTCGTCCAGAATTGACTCAAGCCGTGTCGAGATCGAGCCTCAAGGCGTCGTCAAGACCTTTCATTCAGTAGGCGTAGAAAACAGTTGTCTCATCTTCCGACTGCCGGATCTTCTCGTTCTCTTGCTTCAGCCAGTACCGCATGCCCCACGCGCCAGCTGCCACCAGAATGCTTAGAGCAGCACTCGTCGACATGGCCATCGTGTAACGAGGCTCGTCAGACTCAGGCCATAGGTACGGCGTCCAAATGAAACTTGCGACAGCCAAGCAGTTCACGATGGCAAGAGAACAAGCCTTCTTTTCTCTTGTTTGCGAACAAGTTGCCGACACCCATCCGAGGATAATCGAGTTGCAGGAGTAGGTACCCACGGAGAAGACGCACATGGCAACTAATGCGACGGATTAGCCTTTTTTTCCACGGTAATAAATATAGTCCATGAATGTGGACGAGAAGGTAGTTGTTTAGGAGCTCGTATGAAGAGAGCTAGCACGGAGGGGCTCATACAATACCGGGCGCCGGTGTTGAGGGTTGCACACCCTAAGACAAACCCAAATACAGCGATCGCCTTTCCTATGGTGATATGCCTGTCAAGGTCAGCAAGGCAACAGGAGACTTAGACAGCAACTTAGCTCACCATGTGCGTTCATTGAATCTACCAGATGACCATGACCAAGCAATCGAGACAAAGCCAGCAATGAGATACGGCGGGCACGTAAGAACAAGGGTAATCGTTTGGTTGAATCCAAGTGTGCGAATGGCAGTGGGGAAAAAGTTCTTGAATCCGTTTGCTCCGAGATGGCCGTGCTGCATAGCCACAAACAGCCAGACCTTTGGATCCTTGGCAGCATCCAGAATGCCTGACCAGGTTGTAGTCTGGCCCTGGTTTGCCACAGTATCCTCTTGGGTTCTTTCATGGGCTAGCTTACGCTCCTCTGGTGTCAGCCATTTCGTGGTGAGGGGCTCGTCAGGAAGGATGAAGAAGGCCGCGAGAGCGACGATGAGCGTGGCAGCGCCTTGTATAATGAAGAGCCATTGCCATCCCGAGATGCCAGCCTCCAGAATGTTAGCGATCTTTCAAATCCCAATCAAGAGTTCTGCTTACCATGCCGTGCATCTCAAAGATGCCCAACGCAATCAGACCAGCAAATGCTGTCGCAAGGATATTGCCGGTGTAAAGAATTGAAATGCGCGTGGCTAATTCTTTTCGTGTGTAAAAGGTTGCCAGGATGTAGAGGGCACCTGGGTAGTAAGGAGCTTCGGTGATACCCAAGAAGAAACGGGTCAGCAGCAGGCCGGTGTAGTTGCGACTAATCGCCGTGAGCCCGCTGATGATGGCCCACACAGTCATGCATGAGGCCATCCATATGCTGGGCCTAATTCGGGTGACCACCATGTTGGCTGGGATGCCGACGATGACGTAACCGACGAACAGGATGGACACGCATGTTTGGTACTGTGATCCTGTGAGGTTTAGGTCTTTCTCCAGAGTGTTGAGTTTCGCAAGGGCAATGGCGTTTCGATCCTAGTGTTAGATATTAGTTTCAACTTCCTACATGGGTCGAGTACTGCGACGACATTGTGCTCGTACAAGATAGTTCAACCAATACATCAGCCAAAGAATAGGCATGATCCACCAGTCCAGTTTGCGGACAAGTGCGATCTCGCGGGGGTCGGTTTTCTCGCGGGCGCCGGAGTAGTCCCGACGTTCTTCGACTTCACTCTTCAGGACATCTTCGGTGTGGATGGGCGATAGCACAGCGCCATCTCCGGACTTTGCGGGCTGGATCGTCGGAGACATGGTGGAACAAATGACAATGACCTGCTATCAGCGGAGAACTGCGACCAAGGAAAGGGTGCCAGCAGCTTTTCCTTTATAGGTCTGAAATATTGGCCTTCTGAAATCTTCCCCGGTCCTCGATGATCATCATGTCATGCCAAGGGATCCTCCAGGCCGACTGTTTGCTTATTGCACCATCGTATCTTTTCGGGATGCAGTGTGGGGATCCCAAGACTAACGCGAGGCTGGTTGCACTGCGTGTGCGCCAACTGCATCGTCCTCGCCGTTTTTTTGACGATCACAACTACATGCGTGAGGGGTTTATCGACGAGACCTGTTACGGGGACTTCCTTCGCGCATTACTTGTTGATTCCACGCCAACTCTCTCGCCAGCGAGGAGTAACTGATCGACAAGAACTAGCCACCAACTAAGCTTGGTCTGCATGTGCTCAATGGTCAGCTCAGGGTGAAAACAAGCTTAACTTGATTAGAGTGTCGTGTCGACCAGACTCATGTGCCAAGGAGCCAGGATGAGGCCAAGAACATCAGCGAATTTCCCCGCATACCGTCCTGCAGACGTCGGGCAGAAAGCCGCTCCATGATATCCAATGAGGAAGGAATCCGGTTTCGCGCTCATTCTTGTCCCATGGGGTTCATTGATGGGGTTAAACCGGTCCCCGTGGGGAGGGAAGAAACTAGGGAGCCTGTACATAGTCGGGCATTGTCGGAGACCGGGCGAAGAGTATCCATAGCCAAGTAACGCCTCCACCGGGACCTTCTGATGGCCGGGCTTAAGGAAGAGCCATACATGTAGTAGCCAATTTATTCAATTGCTGGTTGTACTTCGCTTCAGCGATTCATCAACCGAATGGCAAACCACGAACCGTCTTATGCGAAGTACGCCGTTTCTATGGCACATTACCACAAAGCTCTCACGTTGCTACAACGTAACACCCAAGATAAGTGCACTTCGGAATGGCCAGATTAGCAATAATTGAAAGAAAGCCAGCTTATCCAGCGGGGGTTTCCAAGCTCGGCTATCGATCGGTGCATGGTCCTTTCACATTTAAACGACTCGGAAAACGCGCCATCGGGTTGCTTTCCAGCACCATGACCGAACAGGCCACTGAATGCATCCATCGAAGGCGGTTTTATCCGCAAAGGCGTTTTGCCAAGGCCTTAAAATCAGCCTCCTTCCTCAGGCCACTACTGCTATGGTGTCAGCTCTTGTTCAAATTTTCAACACGGGTTGCCGGGTCTATGATTGTCGATAATCATTAGGACCGTGCTTCATTCCTGTCATAGCTTCACAATGGTGGATAGATTGCCTGAAATCGGTCATTTTGGTAGGTTGTATACGGAGAGTGCGGCTGTAGATGAGCTTTGGTTTCTTTACGACATGAAGCACACGATAGCATTCAGGATGGGCTTGTAAGAAGAAGAAGAGAATCCATCGTGATGTGGACTACCTCCCTTCGCACACCTAGTTCTCGGGGATCCTGCCCGGCATACGATGACGCGTCTTGTTACATGAGACATAGATTGTGCATGTGATATTTTTTATGGCGCAGAAGGAATTGCCCAGTCCGGCTCCGTCACGGCATGTTGTTGCTGCAGGGAAGCGCTCGGAGCTTGCCACTTGGGCCAAGATAGCAGGCAAGAGATTGTCATCTGAATGACGCATAGAAGAGCGCCCTCATTCGCGTGTATTCAATGACTTGCCTTTGGTCAAGCTGGAGAGCGAAACAGTTGGTGTCGGTGGTAACGGCAGGATACGCTGGCTTGTTTGCCCGTGTTGACCTCTACCCCTTTCACAAGTTTATCGAGCTCTTCCACACTTTTGTTTTTTGTTTGCTGAGCGTGAAGTGTGGCAAGTTCGCCTAAATATGTTACGATTCAGGCTGTGGGGGCGAGTAATGAGGCCTGGTGTGCTGGTAGGCAACGGTCTCCGGTGGCGAGATGCGGCAGTCCATGTTCGTGGCCATATATGGGCTGACGGATGAAGTTCATGGCTAGTGCAATGTTGTCTGCCACATGCTAGTCAAGGTACGGTTCTCTCATCGTTGTACCTAATCAACTTATGGGTTATCTTTGGTACGTAATTCAGGCGCGTGCGACGCATGACAGTATGTATGATGCAGCTACCATCGACTGATTCGGCTTACAAGTGCTAAATACGTTCCAGAGCTGGTTTCGACGGTGAAGATGGCAGCATACAGCAAGGAGTAACGAGAAGTATCCGAAGCGTAATAATTTAAATGTACCGCTGAAATGACATTACTAACATGCTTTGACATAACTAAGCCCCTCAAGCCACGGCTGAAATCTCCTTCACCGGCACCGTCAGGTCAACAATGCCACACGTGATGTCCCTCTGCGAGTAGATCTCCCCAATGGTCCAGTTACTGTTCTCGGTATACGTCTCCTCACAGTCGAGCTTCACACTCTCTCCGCCCTTCGCCGTGATCGTCGACCTGTACGTGTCAGCATGAGGTGATCACTATACACAACCAAACGTGGCGGGGCCAAACTTACGGGTACTGCGGGTCGTCGAAGCAATACCACCTCTGCGCGACCTGGACCTCTCCGCCGGGGCGGTCGAAGCGGAACGTGGTCTGCGACAATCTCGGCTCATCCTTGGGAACGTCTCCCTTTGGCGCCTCACACTGGTAGTCAACATCGCCGTAGAAAAAGTCGTTCAGGCTGCTGCTCGAGGCTTCGCATTTTGTCTTGGTGCCGAGAATGGCGTTTTCTAGGACGAAGGAAACGTAGCCCCACGAGTTCTGATGCGATGGGGTCGAGAAGATGTAGTTGGCATGGAAGTCGAAGGACTTCAGCTCCCATGACTTTACGGCCGATGTTGTTGAGAAGCAGGTCTGCTTGTCAGCGCGGGAGAGGATGGGGCTGGCGAGGGCCAAGGGGGCCAGCAGGAGGGAGAGAAGTGAGGCGTGCATCGTGATTGTGACGATGTAGATGTCTTTGGTGTTGGAGAGTACTTTCGGATGGAGGTAATTTAAAATAAACGTGCAACTTAATGCGTATGTGGAGTGAATGCCGGATAGGAACAGGTGTTTTGGAGAATCCAGGAACGCTTCAAACGTGGACGATCCACGCGTTATATACCAAAACATGTCCCATGTTCATCTTTGCCATGAGCACTCCCTCTGAGAGAGACTACCCGACTGCATTACCATGATGAACGATTGTCGGTTCCAAAAAAAAAAAAAACCCCAACCACCAGTGATGATCATGACCATGACGTAGCACGACGCTCGTATACCCCTCCAGCCGCGACCGTCGATCGAGTGTAGTTGTTGCGCTCCGCCTCAGCCTGTGAACCCTCCGACCAACCCCGCCAACAAGGGCGGCAGCAAAGAATCCGATCGTTGCGTGCGGCGAATGGCGAGCGCAAGGACGACGAGCATCAGCGGAGACCTTTCTCTCCTGTGGGCTTGCGTCGATCGCCGCCGACTTGGAGGTCGGGGTGGTTCGTGACCGCAGATCTGTTCGTATTTCGGCCGACGCAGGGTCTCTTCAGACGTTCGATGGCGAGAAATCGGGGAGGCCGGGTTCCTGGTGGAGTGCGAACAAGAGGTGCTGGCTGCTGCTCCCGTCCACCACCACGAGGGGCCATGTCTCGGGCATACAGTATTTGCAAGACACGACTCTTGTGTTCGAGAAGTTTGTGCCCCCTTCTCCTCCGACCCAGTGGCCCCGCCTCCAACAAACGAAAGCATCAGTATTTTCAGCTCCCATGGTACCTGGTTCCTGGCTACGCGCAAGAGCAGGCCCGAACGAGCAGCAGAGAGTAGGTGAACAAAGCTGCAATCGGGCATCGGCACCGCGGGAGGCTGCCTGGCGGCTGGGCTGCAGGATTGATCGCCCGGCAGACCCATGGGGGGGGGGGGCGCGTAGGATCCCTCATCACTGTTCCTCAAGGCCACTGGTGACTGGTGACCTCCCTCCCCTCCCCTCATCCACAAGCCATGCTGGGCGCGGCACTTGGACCAGGTGCCGAAGCTCCGATCCCTGCGCCTTGGCTGTCCCGTGTACCCCTCTTCCCGCCTCTCTTTACAGCTACTTTTCTAGAGCCTTCGTGATCATGTCTTACCTGTTCTGGTCTGCACCTTGACACGTCGTCCCCTTGCCAGGGGAAACGAGGCCGCCGAACAGAGTATCCAAGATGCATGCTGTGCTGTCGCCCGCCGTGCCTAGACGAAAGCAATGGCTCAATGTCTCCGAATAGCGCCGCGCCGCCCACTCCCGACTCGTGTCCCAAATGAATCAGGCGCAACGTTGCAATCGCTGTCAACCAACCTCCTCACCGCCAACGCGGGCCTCAGTCTTGAGAACGTCCATCGTCGCACGGCACCGGTCGCAGTCGGACGGAGTAGAGCCTGCTGACGCATCTCTTCAAGGGACCGACCGCCGTCCGTCTCTCGAAATAGGACCTGGGCTCTCGTAATGCCACTGACCGCTTGCTTGACTGCAGCTTGCAGGTTACACTGGTGCCCTCCTTCTTTCGTGTAGTGACCTGTCATCTTCAATCGATGGTTGTCCCCCCTGCGCCCGCGCCCCGGCAATGTCATACTGCCATGAAGTGGGTGGTGGGCGGCCAGGGATCAAGCTGCTGGCGCATTCGGTCAACAGCGCGCGATTGGGAACCCCACTGTTCTCACGACGAGGCGACGAGGAGACCGACGCGGGAGACGGAGACTACTAGCTTCAGCGCAACCGCATGCGGCACCCTCAACTGCGACCGAAACGTCGCCCATCAGCAGCGGTAAACCCAACAAGATCGAGAGCACTGAAGGACTTGTGTCCCAACATCCTCACGGCGACCGACACCCGGGATCGGAATCCTCCATTTGCTCCGAGAACCCCTCCTCCCCTGTAAAAAATGTAAGCACTTAAAATGCACTTCGGTGACTCAATCTCGGTGCCTATCCAGGACTACATGTCAGCAAGTAGGAACAAAATCATATCATCCGATCCACACACCACATAGTCATAATGCTGAGTAGGATCCGTAATTCAGTAAAAAGTGATTGATTTGGCTGCTGCCTAAATACTCGCTCCTAAAGACTATCCACCTCCTCATTACCGTAGAGTGCTTCTGCCCCCTCGTGTCTCATGAAAACTATCGTCATGCCCCCGAAGAAAGAATGAAGACACGACTTAGCATGAGTTCATCGGGCATCCGACCATGGTGCCCTTGATATCTCCCGAGACACCGGCGAGCTGCAGAACGGCGCCGACGACACCGCCCATGCCCTCACCGGCAATCATACCGGCAGCAATGGCGTAGGCGTAAATCTCAAAGCTGACGGGCTTCCACTTGCGCCAGACGGCCGAGATGATGGCACCGAGGAGAGCGGCGTTGGTGAAGACGGGGCCGGGAATGACAAACGACAGAGCAATGGCGCCCCAGTTGGGGAGGTACTCGCGGTACTTCTCACGCTCGCCGACGAGGTAGTGGCGGCGGAGGACTACCTGGATGATGGAGAGGACACCCATGACGATGGAGAAGATGCCGGACGACAGCGGGATGCTGACATTGGGCTCGGTGACGACCTGCGCAACGGCAGCCCAGGCGCCGACAGAGGGGGCGCCGAAGGCGCAGTGGCCGCCATCGATATCCGGGTTGATGATGCAGGGGTAGGCAGTGGTGAAGAGGATGAACAGACCCGGGGCGAGCCAGACTGAGACAAAGGTGCCGATGGCCTGAGCGATGAACTGCTTGATGGGAGGAGTGCCGAGCAGGAAACCGGTGCGGAAGTCGGAGGTCAGGGCCGTTGACACGTCAGCGGCACCCGAGGCGAGACCACCGGCCACGAGGTTGACGCGCTGCGCGTGCTGCACGCCGTATCCCATGCCCGAGGTGGCACCACCGATGACAAGCTGCGAGGCCTTGGCGGCTGCCGTCAAAGGCGTCTGGTCAGTCACGGCACCAATCTGGATGGCCAAGAAAGAGAAGAGGAACGCCAGCACCAGCGCCAGGATGGTCAGGCCAACGTGGATCTTCCACTCGACGGCCATGAGGACAATGGCGAGAACGATCGAGGCCAGCAGACCAGACGTCCACATCCACATGGGGACCTGATCCTCAGGCGGCGAAGGGTCCTTGACGACGTCTTGCTCCGACGACGTGCTGTATGCGTCGGCACGCTTGGCGAAGAATTCGATGCGCTTGCCCCGCTTCTCGGCCATCGAGTGGATTGAGGCGCACGAAGAAGACCAGAGGGCCTTGACGCCGTACGAGATGATCCTCCAGTGCACGGCCAGCTCAGCCATGGAGGCGCACACCATGATCATGACACCGGGCCACAGCAGCCAGTACCGGGGAGACGAGGGGCCCTTGCCGATGTTGGCCAGAGAGTAGAAGCTGTACAGACCATCCCACTTCGGGTCGCCGTCGGAGACGTCCTTGCCGATGCACTCGCCGTAGTGGACGAGAGCAGGTCCGATGACACCCCATGCGAGAACGGAACCGGCAAACATGGACAGGGCAGAGTTGAGACCGATGAGCATACCGGAACCGATGAAGGCAGTGGTCCACTCAAAGTACCATCCCCAGGACTCAATGTTCAGGGCCCACGAAGAATAGCCGCTCCAAATATGGATCCAGGTGAAGAAGTGCCAATCGTACAGAATGCCGACGGCATAGTACGAGACGACGCGGTGGACGATGCAGACGACAAACGCCGTCGACACAGCCTTGAGCTTGCTGAAAGCCTCCTGAGCTCCCGAAAGGCCGGCGTGCATAGAACGGATGGTCAGCGCCGCGGCGGTCGCGGTCGGAAACATCAGGCGCAGTTCGCGCGCAACGCGAATGACGAAGAACTTGCGCAAGGGGGTAACGAAGAAGATACCGAAGAAGGCACAAGAGATGGTCAGTGTGAAAATCTTGCCAATGTCGTTCTTGGGCGAGTCGCTGAGCAGACCAAGACGGTACATGGCGGGAATGCCAGCCACGAAAATGCCGGCGAAGCCACCAGCACCAGTGGCAGCAGCCTGGACGATACTGTTCTCCTGAGGACCAAAGTAGCCACCGATGATGGGGATGTTGGTCCGCGACATGAGTCTAAGGATGCCGTAACCGAAAAGGGCGCCGAACATGCTGGCGAGGAAGGTGAAGCCGGTCTTGAGACCTTGACAGGAAAGTCAACAGTTGTTGAGGGTTGTAGTTGAGAGACTTTGACCTACCTAGGTACACATTGGATGCGTTGACAAGCGATCCGAGAATGCAACCGACGACGACGGCACGGATGGTGAGGGGGTTGCCTTCGGGAGGGAGATCGGCATCCATCTTGAGGGGCACATAGAGGTCCTCCTCGTGGTGTTCCTCATCGTCGGCGAGCTTGGTCGACACATTGTCGACAGTCGTATTCTTCTCGTCCAAGGGAGTTGGCGCACCGATGCCGTCAACAGCGGAGGACGCGTTCACGGTGTCCTTCTCGACAGACATTTTGTAGGCGTCTGAAACAGATCCTCGGGAAGCTGGATACAATGCCAGGTGGGCTGGAGGGACAAGACTTCAAGGCGAGAAACATGTTCGCATCGATAATGGGCGGCCATCATATTTATCTCCAGAGGGACAGACTCGGTAGCACACCACCCCAGGCAACGTGGCGCCGTCCCTCTCGACACTCACCTTCCTCACGCGGTATCGGTCCATGAGACATCAGTGTCTAGTCGTTTGCGGGGTGGATAGTCGGGTAGGAACTGGACATGGGAGGGGCGCCCTTGTCCGACGAGGGGTCCCCGTACCTCCAGATGATAAGTCTCGTCTCACCTGCACATGTCGAGCGCTCGCCGGCTTGCTATTCGTCTCGTCAATTCGTCAAGGGGTCTGGAACTACTACTCCAGCAGGCTACCCGAGTCCATGGATCCAAGATAAGGGCGTACAAAGATGGAGACCCAAGCTCACGCGAAGATGCCTGTGAACGTCGCATCTGTGCGGCCATCGCGCACACAATGGAGACTTTGGAGTGCGCTGATCCCAAACCAGACCTGGAAGTTCCCGACCACGAGGTCGTGTACGCGCGCATCCACATTCTTGATAACGACCTTCCTTTGTGGGAAACCCAGTGCGGCTCTATCCGGCTACAACGGCATTCCTGGCATCGAGCCCCAGGATACTTGCGCCAGACAGCAGTGGTGTGGTGGCCAACCGTCGCCGTGCTGGGCCACCCAAGGGCCCTCGGGCGATAGCCAAACGAACATGCTCGTAATAGGGTCTGCAATCGTGGAGAAGGTTTACGTACTGACCAGTCACGGCCAACATGAGATGCGCCTGAGCAGGGTCTGGCGCAACATGGTGTCCACGCAGAGCCGCACCAGGACGGCTCTTCGGCAGGCGTCGCATCGGAAGTTGGCAGGAAACGGCATAGCTTGGCAGACAACGGTCGGAAATCAAGCTCGATTCGAGGAGGCGTTTATCCGGATCGCGCCCTGCGCGCCAATTTGCCAGTCGCCGGGTGGCCACCAGATTGTGGCTACCGTTCTAGTGCCAAAGCTAGAAGGAGGCGAGTCGTCAAAGGGGCCGAGGTTGGGAATTGGACACGCGCTCGTACGCATTCTGGCACGTTGACCCATCCAAGCAAACCCCGATGCCCCTGGTCTTCCTGTAGCCCTGTGGTGCCCAGCCGGCTTCCTGCTGCGCGCCCAGCCGGCTTCCTGCTGCGCTCCCGGCCGTAGGGCGACGGTCAAAAAGCTTAGCTTGACGAATGCTTGCCAGGGTCCGAGGTTGTCGAACAAAGGGCGCGTTGGATGAGGAAAAGAGACCCCTCTTTGCAATTTCGGCCGAAATGGCGGAGGGTCTGGTGCGTCGGGCGCCTCCGGCTGTGAGCTTTGAGACACTGACTTGTGATTGTGACCAGCTTCTTTGATGACGGCCCCAATGCGCAGATTAAACATTCAGGCACACGCTGAGAGTACTTATTAAGTTCGCCTCGCCTCTCGCCGGAAAAAAGAGGGTAGAAAAAACAAAGGGCAAAATGGTTTGCCTGCTACACGGGGGAACAGAAATAAAGTGTACGCATGTACCGTCTCGAAAGCAGCAGTGAACATGGCCAGCCCCTTCTTGAAGCCGTCAGCTGCTTACCAGACGACACCATGCGAAAAAGGGTATGCATTATCCGTCTTCATGTGGATTGATTCACTTCAGGATCCATCTCCATCTCCACCGTGCCACGGAACCGCACAAGCATCCCCCGCCATGCTCGCGTGGTCTGGAATGTCTGGAGTTCTCCCCTGAGGCATTATGGGTCAGTCGCTCGCTGTATTCAAAACAGAGCTGTCGCTTCCGACAAGGGTGTTTCGTCATGTGACCCGACAGGAGGGGCGACGGCGAGGGTAGAGGCAGGGCGCTCCGGATTCTCTTCACTGAACGAAAACGATTGAGGGCCCCATCAGTCACCCCCACGTACAACTCCCCAGCATAAGACCATTCGCTGGTCCAGCTCACTTCAAGCAGCGAATCACCCTCATCGCCATCCCACGTTCCCGCGTCGCGGGGCACCAGCCAACACGGCACGTCGAAAATCCGACGAATCAGCGTCCCACGTGCTGCTGTCGTTCGCCTCAGGGGGGCCTGGGCCTGTGGGGTATGTTCACGTCAAAATGATCTCAAGGGTCGATGAATCGAATTGAATTCGCCGGTTCTGCTGCACAGACATGCATGGAGACATGTTAACCGCCGGTACCGTATCTGATGCACGGAAGTAAGTCGGAGCCACGGCCGGCGCGGGCGGGGTTGAGAGGCGGGGTCCTGGCAGAGGGAGGCTGCTGCAGACGTGCGGTATATAGACAGTCTTGGGCATCATCAGGTCTGCCCGTCGTAGTTTTTACTGTCGAGAGACCCAATGCTCCTTCTATGATTCGGACCAGGTTTCGTGACCGTTCATGAACTTTATGTTGTCAACAAGTCATCTGCACCATGAATACCGTCGTCATTGCCCCCATCGATTCCATCGCCATCCGGCCAGGGTCCGAGTTCGTCACTCTGTTCGCGAGGACAGTCAACCTTGCCCTCGGTTTCCAGCGTCTCCTCGGCGCCGTCTGGCTATCTGTCATTCTGAGGACCTACTTCCTGGCGGCTTATACAGCGGCAACAGCGCTTTTTGCGTCACGAATCATCGCAACACAGTCCTTGGGCCTGACGAGATCACTCGTACTCGGTTCGGCGAAAGCCTGCAACATTGTTTGCAAGTCGAAACGTGTCCGGCGGATTCGCAAGCGAATGGAGTATGACTTTGCCATGGTCATACTTGGGCCAGGAGTAAACACACTCATAGTCTTGGTTTTCTGGCCTGGCTGGTGGGTGCTTTGTGGCGCGGCTGTAGCTGCCAAGTTGCTGGTCGGCTGAGCCACTTGCACAGTATGTTGGGTCTTCCAGGCCTTGTCGTTACCTTGGCTGACGTCTGTAGAGTCAAGTTTGAACACGCTCATCAGAAATTGAATCGCCGACAGCTCATTTCGAAAAGAAGAACGTGTTGCCACCGGCGTCCTTGCGCACCTCATCCTGGTAGTCTTTCTCGGGGTCGAAATCCTGCCAAGTGCTGGCAGGATAGATATGCTTGTTCCGCTCATACCACCGTCGATCTACGACCTTTGTGTATGCCGGGTCATCGTTGTAGCCCTCCAACGTTGATATGTCAGGCAAAGCCTTGATGGCAGCAGCCTTCAATGCTGCAGCCGTGGTAAGCCCACCCTGGGGTACGGCAGGTTCGTCTTCCGTATCGGCGGGCAAGTCTTTCGTCGGGGGTGCTTCTGCAGAATATGCGAAAAGACGCTCGCCGTCGGGGCCGACGCTCTTGTTCATGAGGAAGAAGTAGAATTCGTAATGCTACAAGCAATTAGATTCAAGGCGTCACGAAGGCTTTGCTGTACTTACGTGCGGTATGATCATTGATCCTCTCACGAGCATCAAGTCGTCTACACCAACTCGCGCCCATTCCCTCCTCGCATTCGCCTTTTCGCCGACACCGAGCTCAGCACCGACTTTACGGCTTTTATCGAGACATACCCATATGTGGTCCCCCTTTTTGACTCGAACAATGCCACCGGGGATGTTGGTTCCATCATAAAATACAAAGGGTATCGCAATCTCCGTGGCTTTAACCGCCTCCTGTATGACGAGGAACTCACGTCGCAACGCTTCTCGCTCCGCAGCTTCTCGTCGTAGTGCGGATTTCGTCTGAGCTTTCGGGACAATGCCGACAGAAGTATTCGCAGCGAGCTTTGATGGAGCCTTGTTGTCACCGGTCTTTGATTTCCCTACGGTCACGGGGTCCTCGTCCTCTTCATCGTCGCCAAAAGACAGCTTGCTGCCGACGGTCTTGCTCTTCTTTTTCTTCTTCTTGATTGGTCTCGCTGAAGCGTCACCAGAGTCGCTCGTAGCATTTGCCGGCGTCGCAGAGTCGGATCGGTCTGGTGTCGCTCCGCCGGGAAAGGCAGCTTCGCGGGCTTCACGCTCGTGCTGTTCGATGGCCTCGGCGCGTCGCTTGCGAAAGTCGGAAAGGGCGACGAGACCGACAGTATTTGTCGCCACGCGCTGGGTAGCTGTTTGGTTTTGGGGCGTGAATCGTGAGGCGTTGCTGTCGGCCATGTTCGGATACGGTACGTGGTGCTGGGAGACAAATGTCCGATTGATGAGCTGTGGCCAGTCGCACTTGGCAGGTTCGAATCAAGTTGTGGACAGTGCGATGGCAGAGGCGAGGCAAGAAGGCACTGGCCGCCTCCTGCCAGCTGAAGACCAATCGGTACCCCACCTGCCCCGTCAACAGCCCCGCCCTTCCCGCTGGCGGCTTCCCTGCCACTGCATTTGACCCGACCCTGCCTGCCACCTCATTTTCTGGCATCGATTCATCGCACTCTGAATCGGTGCCACGCCACATTGTCTCCCCTCGCCTCGCCTCGTTTGATTGTGAATGTCTTGTCTTTTTGTTCTTCCTTGATCCCGCGACCCCGTCATCTCTTTGTTCGAGACATCTTCATATCCCAAGGCCAATCTACAGAGGTGACAACGACTGCGACGTACCCCGCGCATTGAGGTCCCGAGGCTCCGCAAGAGCGCATACCGCCAGTTCTCACCACGAGGCACGTCACCCCACCCAGTATGGACGCTCACCAAACTACGACGTCGGCAAAGCCTTACGACGGCCCCTCCCAGTACGCCATGTCGGGGGGCAGCGGCTTCGCTGGGCCTGAAGAGCCGTCGTCGTCGAGGCCGTGGGATCGGCCCTCATCTTACCCCGATCCCGTATCTGGCTCCGGCGCGTACCCTCCAGGCTCGAGCGAGCTGCCGCCAACATCCAGACCATATGATCCGTCTCCTAGGCCGAATGGGTCAACAACGAAGCCTTACGACCCGTCAAAGCCGTATGACACGCCCTCTAAGCAGCATGACATTTCCAAGCCGTACGATCCGTCGACCAAGCCTTACGACCCTTCCCTGTATCCCACCCCCACAGGTCCCGTTGGCCCCAGCGTAGAGCAGATGCCGGGGCCGGCTGCCATGTCGTACTCATCCCAGTACGATGGAACGGCCGGCGCCCCGTTGCTAGCTCAACAGCAGACGGGTTTGTCTGCGCCCATGGTCACATCCCCCCAAGATATCCGCTATGTTCGAGGACAGACCCTCGAAGCACTTGGCGAGCTCTACACACTGCAAAAGAACAGGCAGCGGCTCAGTGGTACACCCGTGCCCCTTGAGCTCGAACAGCAGTATCGCATGCAGTTGAACAAGGCGAGCTTTGACCTGAGAACATTGCGAGAGGAGGTCAAGATCCTCATTAGCGATGCCGAGAAGCACCGATGGCGGAAGTGGCTCATCGGCAGCATTGTGTACGTCTTCCCCTTCTCAAACCTAGGGTTACATGACTGACAGGCGCAGCGCAACCATTATTCCTACTGTCAACTTTATCTTCCGCCGCTCACCATTGGAGAAGAAAGAGGACAAGTCTGTGACTGATACTGAGCACTCCTTTGTTCGAACGCGCGCGTTGTTGGCGAAGATCAAGGACACTGTCCTCGGTCGCAATAATATTGCGAGTATCGCCTTTTTTGTCTTTGCCGTGCTGTATGTCTTTTCGAACGAAGTAACGTTGTTGGTGGCCAAAACGGTCAACAAGAGGCTCAAGAAGCTTTCATCGAGGATCGAAAAGGGCGACGGTCTACTTGAAGAAAAGGATTTGAAACTCCTGGACGGATGGCGGTGGCGGGTATTGCTTCTTGGGCAGTGAATTCTGGGCTATGAATTATGATTTATCACTGATGGGGGACGCTGGATGATGGGATGACGTGATTGAGGCAACGGGCCGGATGGATACATTCTGGATAGCTACCCTGTTTAGCGTCGATGCATGACGAATATACGGCATTAAGATTATCCATCTATACACTGCAAAAAAGTATGCACCTGTCATAAGGCGGTGCGGGCGTATGGTCGAATTCAAAGGGGAATCAACCCAGCCCGCTGAACCATAAACGGACGACCTGGGAGCCCGACGATCCGGCCAACCCGGAAACACCGGACATCTCAAGTCACACCGCAGATGGCTTCGACCGATTGGCGATCATCATCTGAAGACGCCAAGATATTTCATTCCGCGCGATCCGTAACTGGTTCACTCCTCATATACTCGGCTTATTCCCCCCGCCTCGTCACGAAACAATGGAAGCGTCAACCTTTTGTATTCAATCCCGATACGATGATAATCCCAAGCTCCGCAGCGTCATGCACCACAGGCCATGTGCTGATGGCTCGTTTACCGGCATGGCTGTACCCCGGATACCCTCCTGTTCCAGCGGCGCTCAGTGCCAGCCATCCGCTACAGCAGTTCTGGAGTTCACCGACAGAATGGTACTCAGAACCTCGTAGGTCGCACACCGCTGTCTGTATCCATGACGTTCTGTCATCTCACTGAATCAGACATAGTCGCCACGTTCATGCTATGGGTAGCAACATTTGCCATGGCAAGCATCATCGTCCTCGGCGTTGCTTTTGGTTTCGTTGGCTTTAGCGTAGGTGGGTATCTTGACATGTGCTCGCTACCCTGAGACCGGCATTATCCTCTTGCTGACCTTGATTCGATGAAAAGGAGTCGCTGTTGCCGCATTCCAGTCATACATGTACAACGGCTATGCTCCCTCGGGCGGCATTCTCTCGACCATGGCGAGTATCACCATGCTGGGAGTCGTGCTGCCGTGGGGCTTGGGCGTGGCCAGTGTGTTTGCTACGCTTGCGGCTGCCGTATCTTGGGCTTATCGACCAGGTATTTGATCCAGCTGAGGATGGACGCGCCAACTTGCTTTCCCCTGTCTGAGAACTGACACGAGCGGCGATGAACGGAAGTCTAGGGAAGACCAGAGCTGTGAGATCCCCGTGGCTCTTGCCTCGAAAGAACTGTGTCGGAGTTTCATGAGCCGTGCTGTCTGAGCACTCCATCAGGGTGTCTATTGGCTTCCACCGGTCATAAGAAGCGAATGATACCCATATTTTGTAAGACTGGTCTCTTACGTTATCTACGCGATGTGGTAGCAAGAGTTTGGACCGAACTTGACACTCACTTTGACATGTTACCCTGGAGTCATACCTATTTGAGTACTTGCGCGCATGAGACCACTGCATGGAATTGCCAGGAGGATTTCGCGGTATTGACATGTATGTATATGAGTGTAGGTTGGTCGGGGGGTTCTTCAGAATAGAAAACAACATGCGAGAGCGACTTCCATGAAACAGTTAAACTGCATGCTATTCTAGGCACTCGTGTATACATTACCTACTAACGGGACCAAAATTGATCCTTCGCTGGTGTCTACCAAGGCGGCGACTGGCAAAGCACTTTTGGTGGATGCACGGGCCTCCCGTTTCTTGAGGAAGGTTTTGGCGGGGTAGTTCACCATTGGTCATTCCCAGGAGTTTTTCCCAGGAACATCGCAAACACACGACCATATCACGAAGCCAAAAGGCGTCGTCAACTTCGCGAAGCGATAGCTAAGTACTTGAGAAAATGACCGGCACCAAGAGAAAGAAGCCCAGTGATGGAAAAAGCACGGCAAGTCATCTAACCGATGGTTCGAGACATGGTGCAACGACCTACAGCACAAGACGTCACCGAAAAGAACGCCCCGCGCCTGGAGTTGATGCAGATACGTACTTTCGCGACCTGTATCTGAGCGAACTTGACTTCAGACAACTCAGTCGTGAGGATTCGGAGTTTGGTCTATTGTAAGTAGACCTGCCCAAGTGACGTGCATTTTCTTACGAACGATGACAGCCTTCGCAGTGGGAACCTCGACTTCAATAATCCAGCTGCTGTTATGCAGCTTACCAAAACGCTGCTCAAAATCGACTATGGTCTTAAAATAGAACTTCCTGACGACAGATTATGCCCTCCTGTAGGTTCGGCACTGGCAGACGTCATCATTGAATCCAATTAATCACATACAGGTGCCCGTCCGCCACAATTACATCCTATGGCTCAAGGAACTCATTGACGGCTCTTCCTATGCCGAGCGTGGCCGAAAGATGACGGGCCTCGACATTGGTACTGGGGCAAGCTGCATCTACCCTCTACTTGCTTGCCAACAGCGCAACTGGTCTTTTATTGCAACCGGTAGTACGCCTGGTCTCTTCTTGCGGCCGATTGACTGACCAGCCTAGACGTGGATCCCAAGAGCCTCAGTTTCGCAAAGAAGAATGTTCAGTTAAATCACGTCCAGAATCGCATTCAGATTATCTCTCGGCAGAGCTCAGATCCCCTCATCCCAGCATATCCAGCGGTCATTGACTTCACAATGACCAATCCTCCCTTCTACGAATCCGACGCCGACCTCCTTGCCTCCGCGAAGCAGAAATCCCGTCCTCCCTTGTCGGCGTGCACGGGCGCTCCTGTGGAGATGGTCACACCCGGCGGCGAAGTAGCCTTCGTCACGCGCCTAATCGAAGAGTCTCTTGCCCTCCGCGACGCAATTCAGTGGTATACTTCCATGCTTGGAAAGCAGAGCAGCCTCGAGACAGTCGTAGAAAAGCTGCGCGAGCACGGCATAAACAACTACGCCATCACCGAGTTCGTGCAGGGAAACAAGACGAGACGATGGGCGCTTGCATGGAGTTTTGCACCGATGAGGCCATCAACACAGGCGTCGAGGGGGATGAAAGCTGATAAATGGAAAAGGTACTTTCCGCCGAGTACAGAGGTTGAGATTCTTACCATTCCACTGGATGTTGGTGTCGGCGTAGTAGGTGAGAGGGTCGATTCGCTCATGACCTCGCTCGAGCTCGTATGTTGGGCGTGGGATAAGCACAAGCTCCGCGGAACAGGGCGTGCACGCGAGAATGTCTGGAGCCGAGCCTGGCGGCGCAAGAAGGCGAGAGAACAGGAAGGAGGGAAGAACAAATCTCCAGATGGCAGTCATGACTCAGGTTTCTGCGCGCTTGGATTCGAGATTGACATCGATATCAGGAGGGCCGGCATGGCGGTAACGTGCCGATGGAGAGAGGGCCTCGAGTTGTCTGTCTTCGAGAGCTTCTGCGGGTTTCTGAAGACTCAATTGACGCATTTGAAGTAATAGAGGGAGCTGTCGGTAAATACACCGCACTCGGACAGTTTTCTCTTGGTGCGTCATTGTGTAGTCTCTTTACCAATGGCAGGATACGACCTCGGATGTTGCAAAGTCTCAACGAGGAGCTGGGCACTGCTCCTGACCCAAGAACTCGACATGTCCGAAATACGCCCTTACGCCGTCGGTCAAATTCTTTAGTTAAACTTCCAGCTGGTATGCTGGTGTTCTGAGGCGACAAAAGTCGGCAGGTGAGCAGGGTACACCTTCGTCGCCCAGGTGTCGTAGTAGTTCGTTGGACTACAGCTGATCTCTGTTGTCGAAACAGGCTCATGTAGGGTGCTCGGCTCTTTCAAGTCCATACAAGGCTGTTGAAGTGAGACTGCACTGTTGCCACATATCTTGTGGTTGGTAGGCCTTGATGTTATATGCCTGTAACGATCTGCACGAAATACTGCAAGTCTCGGCTCACCCACTGAAAGTCTCACGATATTGAAATTATCACCGTGCTACTTGCTGTCTACATCATTGCCTGTGGCTCTGTGCTTTTTTATTTTCAGGCTTGGGGCCGGGAATACAGGCTGGGACGTTGTACCTCAATCCATGACCAAATCTGAAAACAGCATCCTTGGTGTCAAAAGGCAGATCCTCGAAGGAGTCATCAACGGCTTGATCGGAGGATGCCATGTCAAAAGGTAGCTTTCCTTTGGGCTCAGCTCCCTTGACCCGGAACACCACGTCAAGGAACGCATCTGGGCTACTCCCGTAGCTCGCAAAGAGTGCGGCTGCTTTGTCGGCAATCTCCGGGATGACGGCTGGACGATTCATCTTAATATCCACGATGGTCGGAACCGCCTCGTAGATGGCTGCCTGGCGCTTCTGCTCTTCAGTGGTGAACTCAAGCGACCCATTATTGATGGCGTAGGACGCAGGCCAGGCGGCATCAGGGGGACCGGCGGGTGATGCCAGGCGAAGGAACGCAAAGTCAGCATTCTTCGGGTCGCTGACTGCTGTTAGGCCACGACTTTCAAGAATCCCAGGGGGGATTCCTTCGGCATAAATCTTGGCCTTTTGAGCCGAGCGAGGCAGTGGCAGAATGTCGTTCTTGTTTGTCAAAAGAGTCAACGAATCTCGCTGCGTAGAGTTGCCTAGACGCCTGAACTCTTCGTTCCCCACGATACCAGCAGCTTCCTTTTTGTCGGCAAAAGGTTTGTCGAAGAGGCCCAGTTCGAACTTTTGCTTCAGCAGCTTGCGGACGGAATGATCGATGCGAGACTCTGTAACGTTGCCGTCCTTAACCAGCTTGATAAGGTGTTGGGTACTTGATTCCCCTCCAATAATGTCAACTCCGGCCTCCACAGCGTACCAAGTTCTCTCTAGCGGTGTCTTATCTTCCAGGCCCCAAGGAGCAATGGACAAGATGCCAAAGTCTGTCAGGATAATACCCTCAAAGCCAAGCTCCTGCTTCAGAAGCCCAGTGATAACTGGCTTGTTAAAAGCAAAACCAATGGGCTCCCATCGATCAATTCTGGGCCTGGAGTAGTACGGCATAATCTGTGGAGCTCCTGCATCAATGGCTGCCTTGAAGGGTTGAAGATGCTGGTCGAGGTTGCTACCAGGCCAGGTGGTATTCTTACCCCAAGGGAAATGGGCATCTGCGCCATTTTCCATGGGGCCAGCACCGGGGAAGTGCTTCACAGTAGCGATGACAGAGTCTGCGACTTTTCCCTTGCCTCTGAAGCCCTCCAACATAGGGAGCACCATGGCCGTTGTCAAGTTGGCATCTTCTCCGAAGGTGAGACCAGTCCTTCCCCATCGAGGTTCGGTGGCGAGATCAACTTGAGGGTAGAGAACCTGGCGAATTCCCACCGCAGCAAGCTCCTGGCGGACCACGTCGGCGTAGACGCGAGCCGTTTCAGGGCTCCGCATTGCTGCAAGACCCATCGGCTCAGTCCAGCGCGAAAAGGAAAGTCCCATGTTGGCGGTTGCACTGTCTTGCGTCCAACCGTGTTGAGGATCGGTCGAGAAGGTGACTGGGATTCCGAGTCGGGTGTCATGAGCTTGTTGCTGCCTCTCGTTGAACCAGTCTATAAAAGCGTCGACATCATTCACACCACCTTGGTACACAAAATGGGTGATGAATTGGTTCTTGATCATGCTGCCTGTGTTGGCCTCGCCGCTCGGGCTGAGAAGAGCGCGAGCGTGGTACATTTGGCCAGCTTTTTCTTCGATAGTCATGCGTGACAAGAGATCGTCAACTCGCTGGTTGACAGATAGCTTTTTGTTTCTGTACGGGAATCCATCCCTATGAACATTTGAGGGCCTGCTTCCTCGACCGGCCTGGGCCGCATCAAAGGTAAGCAGAAGGGCAAGGGCCAAACCAGATATTGATACTCTCATGTTTGCCGAGCTGAATCGAACCCGACGTAATGAAGTAGTGGAAGGTTGTAGAAGAGTTACAATTTGCTAGAGGGATTTCAAGATTCATTTGCAGGCCTTACACCCGCACTTTATATAATCTTCACTACTCGTAATTCAGTAGCCTGGATTGCCCGAGGGGAATATTTCCCCTCCTCTAAGCTGCGGAGTTCTTTGCCAAGCCGGCGGGCAGTAACTCACTTCGGACCACCGCCGATGTTGCCAACCCCATCATTACCGCATTACACAGGGCCATGAGGAAATAGTAAACATTCACTCGCTTCGTTGACTAGAAGCGCATTCGGACCGACACAACGGTGGACTAAAGCGCTAGAGCATGACTGTAGGGTTTCCGGATCTCGCTTGGGCGGGGTGTGCCAGACCCTTGGGCCCAACCGCCAAGGCCATTGTCCGAAATGTTGCGGAGAATCTGCCAACACAAATCCAAAGGTATGCTGAACAATCGGCCCTTTCATGATATTCTCGGCTTCGTTACGAAAAGCCACATCGCGAGCTCGGCTCAATGATTTCATGGCATTGGAACGCCTTAGCATCTGCATCTTTGTGTATTGACAAGCCTCTCTAGTGCCTCTAGGCGTCATCTTGAAGGTAGCCACGAGGGTGAAGCCAAAATGTACCTAGTAGACGAATCCTGGTCCCCTATGGGGTTACAATATCCTACAGAATCGGCCCATGGGGTATCATTATAGAATTCCCAAAGTCTACACATGGTGAAAGTTGCACAGGAGAGATAAAATGCAGGGATCGCTATTTTGAACCCCGTTCAGCATTCCAGACACGGTACATCGTAATGGATAGATCGAACTCACCCGCCTACCTTACTGACTGACGTTCTCGGTCCACTTAAATGATGCTTGGTTTCCACCGCCGGTTCGACCTCCCCATGGGGCCGGTGTCGAGTAACGAGGGTGGTGGGCTTTTTAACGAGTCATGACTCCATGTTGGATGACATGACTCCAGTGACACGCGATACCTTGAATTTCCGGAGGAGAATCATCGGAGCCTTACTTCTGCTCTTTGTGATATCACATCACATCTTTGCCTGCTCCCTACGCAGAAAGAAGATACTTGTATTTGAGGTGACTAAATCGCTCAGATGCGGTGGATGAACTTGGCTGGCGATAGGTCACCTCAGACCCTCCTTCAGATCATAGCTTTGACGGATTCGAAGGATCCCAGGTGCAGGTGACCCGAAATGTGCTTTATTAGTGGTTTCTTGGCGATGAAGGTTTATGTAGGCAGGACTGCGGGGGGCCGGATCACTTGTGGAAAAATGGCCGCTGTTGGTGGTCCAGGCTTTGTATTTTTCGGCAAAGTTGAGAATTTTCGCTTAAACTCGAATTTTCGGCAAAAGGCCCGTGGGAGAGAATCGGCTCTGGATCTAGTTTTACCGCGGCCGGGAAACGACTAAAAAGCAATTGGGAATTGTCAAATAATTCTCCGTTCCGTTGCAGCGAGCAGCACGGACAGATGGGTCGGACCCGAACCTTCTGATGGGCCTCGGACTTGAACGTCCAGCATCCACTGTTAAGACCGTTGATGGACTACGAGGTGGTGGCGGGGCAGATGCTGTCTGGCAGAGGATTTACGAAGAAATAGGGGGCAAGCATTACAAAAGACTGTTTACAAGGAGGGCCGTCAGCTCACGGTTAAGCAGATAGTCGATCACTCTACTTGTTGATAGATCCCCAAAAGATCAACAGTCGCAATCCGTCACTCGTTGCAAGGCTCCTAAACGTCCGCCGTTGTGCAGTCCGGTAAATGAAGCGAAGGAAGCTGAATAAGAGAGTGAACCAAGGAGAAATATCACGTAAGTATGAATTTCACCAAACATACACAAAGCTTGACGAGGTTACCCACGTTGATATCAAGAAAGCGAATGAACAAATACGGAGGTTAAACATCAAATATAGTGAAGCAGAATGTGAAAGAGCTACAGCTATCGAAGAAGAGGGCTTCATCGTAGCGGGAGAATGTCGATGGTAATAACCCAAAAGAAGGCGAGAGAGGGCATACACTGGGAACTACGAAGAGGGACTGTGAAAACAGCAAGAAAAGTCTCGGATGATGATTTCAATGTTATTGCTCACGAGCCAAACCTCGGAGTCGTCCCGAGCCGAGCACTCTGTGCAGGTGTATGGCACAAGAGATCAAGGGCATCGCGCAAGAGTGCGCGCCAGAAAAATTGGGCTGGCAGGGCTGAGCATCCTTACGCGAAGCCAAATCACTTTGTGCCTTTTTTTTCCGGCTCGGCCTTTCCATTTAAGAGCACAGGTTTTCTGCCAGGAACACCTCCCTGCTTTCTTGTGTGTACTACCGGAAATCCGCAGGACTGACCCTACTACTTGAGAGGTCATCTCGGGCGAGAAACCCCAGAATAATCGGGCTGCATACGAACCTGGCGGCCCAGACAAGGTATTTGGGGCCAGGCCGTTCCGAACAGGAAGACTCTGTTCACTCGGCCGAAATGGGAACAACAGGTAAAAGACCGACCGGTGAGCCTGGGGGGCTCATCCAGGACCTAACAGTAAGCCAGGGATTTGGTTCACCAGATAACATACCGTGATCCTAGTATCATGGATCGCCAACAACCAACAGTGAGCCATCCAACATGGACTCCCTAACCAACACCACAGGGACATGATGAACGAGTTTATGAGGAAGGACATTCTGGAATTGTAGATACATTCTTTCTCACGACAGTGATCAATCCAAGTCTTACCTTGTATTCATTGTAATGAGTGCGCAACGCGTCACAACACCACCTTGTCTCAGAATCACAACCTAAGCTTCTGCTAGCAGCAACACTAACTCTCTGACAGTGTTAGCAACACTAAGTCTCTGACAGTGTTCTCCGTTGGAAGCTGCCAGGTCGTAGCAATAGCACTCTAGGTACTAAGGAAGGTAGCGAAAGGTAGCGGCGCGATACCTTATTATTACGGCGGTATATAGGTTATAGGATACTTGGTCATACTTAAGACTAAACTCCTCGGTTTCAAATAGATAGATCTCTGCTCATTCTTTTAGCAGTTCACTGAAGGCGAATAGCCTTGTACTCACTTGAACTTCCTTAGTCCTCTCACGATCTGGGGCATGACTGGCCACATTATAGTCAGACAAACGGAGTGAGGCTACTACATACGACCATACCTACTGGAAAACTCGGGATCCCGTCCGCTCTCCCATAGATAAGCCAGTAAGGGTTGGACCAGTAGTTGGGTGGGTGACCACCAGCGAATCCCCGATGTTGTATGTTTTTGATTAAATTTCATGTTTTGTGCTTGGCGATAGTAGAAATGACCATGTCGTGGGTGGGGCCGACATGGGGCGTTGCGGGATGAAAAGAGAGTGGGGACAGTTGATCCTTGGGTCTTCTGTCCAATTTGTTGGTGATGTAACAAGTACTCTAGGACAAGTAAAAGATGAAGAGTCCAAATTAAAAAAAGATACAACTCTGGATGGCGGGGATGCTCGGGGCCAGGGCGCAGGGTGGTTGTGACGCCACAGCCCAATGCGTAATGTACCAAGATCGGTGACTGCATGATTGAACAATTCTGAATCAGTAGCCAGGAAGACGTCACATGGTGGCAGCCGTCGTTCTCTTGCTCTTCAAAGAATTGCAATCTCTCGTTGTTTCGATGCGTTGATCGATTTTGTAGTTGCCTCAATGATCAACATACTGTGTCCAGCTTCTCTGATTTAACTCTGTGGTTTCCTGCACTTACTTTGAAATCTCGCACGTCCAATATGACATTGGAGTAGATAGGAGTCAGGAACCACTGTCATCGATATCTGACACAGCACATCGACGTAATGCCACCCCATCCACTATCTCCGGGACCTACAGAAGATTGCCTGCAGTCATTACCGAACCCAGCCCGTCTACGACTTTGATAGCAAAAATGACGCAGAGAATGGATTTAGTGCCTTAAACTCCCATTGTCTCAGGTCCATAATATCCCTCATTGCGAAAGTCATCTTTCAATTTCTAGCCCCGTAAGCTTGATTTATTCTAGCGAAGCGGAAGGTTCTAATTAATACAGGCTGTTGACTCAGTCTAAGGGACGGTATGAAGTTGTCGGAACATAACCACAGCTGCCGACCAAAGCCTTCGAACAAAGTATGGGACAATGTCATGTCAGAAGGGAGAAGAATCGATTCACCCTTTAGTGTCCAAATTTGGCCTCAATACTTTGTACGAGCGCCAGCCGAGTGGCGGAAAATACAGGTCGCTAATTGACAAAGAACATAGCGGACAGTAAATCAAGATGCCTCTCCGTTACGGATTTCTCACAGACATACCCACCGGCATTTATGAACTGGGCTAGTCCCTGCCTAGATATAAGCTAAGCTATCCTGGCAGGCGGTGGCTAGTGTATGTACTGAGGCTAAATTTAGGCACCCAAGGCCCAGCTGTGGGCGAAATCTTCCAGGGGATGAATGCAATATAGTGTGATCCATACTTGATCTAACATTTTTATCAGAGTTCGAGTTCTTGGTATTATAACTCCAATTCCTTCAACTCGTTCCTCCAGGGGATTGACGTCTGAGCTCCTCGACGAGAGACAGTAATGCTCGATCCCCTGATAGCTCGCGCAACAGCGTCCTCGATCTTGAAATCCTCACCTCGTGAAGTTTCCTCTGCAAAAGCCACAGCGTAAGCTCCGATGAACGTGTCCCCAGCCGCCGTCGTATCTATGGCATCGACCTTGAGGGCCGGCACCAGCCGCCTCTCGCCACTTTCACAAGCATAAAACACACCGCGGGCACCTAGTGTAAGAATAACGTTTTTGACGCCC